CACCTTGTCTTAACTTTGAACACTTTTTCTAAATATGAAAAACAACAGAATGAAAAATGGAAAACTCTGGCAAACTTTACAAAATAAATTATAAATAAAAATTGGATAGAAAATGTTTTGAAATAAAACAATTTAAAATATTGTCTCAATGTAGATACATGTTTTGATTTTGTTTGATTTATCAATCGTATCAATTGAAAAGAATTGTTGAGATTGTTGCGAAACCTTTTAGTTTGTAAAAAATTTTATTTTTTTAAAGCTATGTTAGACACTAGCTGGAGTGCCTAGGGTTGCCCAGGTTTATATTATTGTTCATAGTGTATAGTAACTACAACTGTCATCCTTATCTGAAGACGACATTTACATGGGTCTTTAGTCTATTTTTTCTAGTCTTTACTTTCCAAACGAAATCTTTTCATGAAATTATTTCCAAACCAAATAAAACCTTATTGCCCAACCTGTCGTCGTTTCCTTAGTCTGTTCCACTTTAGTATTTATTCACTTTGAGCAGAGATAGGGTTAAATCATGATTTTAGTTGAGTTGTTCGCCTTGCCCGTTGAATTTTTAATTTTTATTTTTACTTAGTCTTACCATGGGTCTTTGATATTGTCATGGTTATATTGCAAGGAAAGGTAATTACAGTTTCGTAAACTCTGCTTACATATTGAATTGGCGGAATTTGTAAACAAGAATAGATGCATCAGTGTTTGTTTATAATCTGAGGAGGATAAAATCATTTAATTTTGATAATTTTAATAATTTACATAATAGTGTCCTTTAACCAGAATATTCAATTGATTTTTTATTTGAAAGATGGATTCCATGTCAGGCTGTTATATCCGTCTTGTGTTTACGTTACAGTCCAGAGACAGTACACTGCAGTACAAAAGATGCGTACACCTCTAAAATAAATGTCCTTTTATTGGATATTATTAGGGGCAGAAATTAACCACGTTGTTGTTGTAAACAATTGGAAATATGATCTTAAGTGACAAGAAAAAAATACAGAATGCATACTGCAAGGGATTGTCTATTTTTCACAATGACACGGAAAGTGATTTTCATGCTCCTTTAAATGTACTTTCAACCCGATCCTTTTTCGTTTTTCAAAGCGATCGATTTTATAAAAATCGTCGGTTCGCTAACGATCGTTAACAACGACTCTTCGTTGCGCAAGAGAATTGACTGTTTCGTGGAAACTATTCCTACGTCATTATCTTTATCACATGATTAAGACAAATATGTCATGTAGCTACCGCACAATTAAAGTTTAATGCACATATTTATAAGATTAGCAAGAATAGAAATACCGTAGTTTACAGATGTTTACAGCCATTTTTAAATTTATCAGATGATTAAATCTAATCATGCAAAGCATTCAATTGAAATACAATTTCAATGAATAATGTCATCTGTCTGCATTGGCGACTTCTCAAAATATACAGTGCTTCCCAAAATAAAATAACAAGCATTGAAAACTTCTTATAAATATACAGTGCTCCCCAAAATAAGATGGTAAGCATAGACGACTTCTCAGAAATATTCAGTGCTCCCCAAAATGATACGGAAAGTGAAGACGACTTCTCATAAATATACAGTGCTCCTCAAAATATTATGGCAAGAATATACAACTTCTCTTAAATATTCAGTGCTCCCCAAAATAATATGGTAAATGAAGACGACTTCTCATAAATATGCAGAGCTCCTCAAAATAATATGGTAAAAGATTATGACTTTTCATAAATTTACAGTGCTTCTTGAAAAATAGATTGCATATTAAAGAAAATTGTCGTCTTCACATCACTCTTTTATTACCGTATATTTATCAATAGTCACCAATCTTTACCATTCAATTTTGGGAAGCACTGTTTATTTAATACAAGTCGTCTTTATTTTCCACTTTATTTTGGAGAGCACTTAATATTTAAGAGAAGTCGTCTATTTCTACTATATTTTTTGGGGGGAGCACTGTATATTTGAAGGAAGTCGTCTTCATTTTCCATATCATTTTGGGGAGCACTGTATATTTTGAAAAGTCGCCAATACTTACCATTTTTATTTTGGGGAGCACTATATATTTATGAGAAGTTGTCTCCGCTTACCATTTTATTTTGGGGAGCACTGTATATTTATGAGAAGTTGTCTTCATTTACCATTTTATCATGTATGATTAAGGTGAAGAAAAGTTACAATTCTTTATATAACCCAAATTTAGACCATGAATAAAACCCCCCCCCCCTCAGCGAAATTTTGGTTTATTTTCATGTCCCTTTTCCACGTACTGCACCTAATAACAATGATCAGTGTAGTTGATTAAGCTAAATACACACGTCAGAATCTAGCGTGGGTGTCTGTTTGTTTGTTTGTGTTCAATAAACGTCAAAACGGCTGAACCGATCGGGCCCAAATTTTTTGTGGAACATCACGTGACCACAGGGAAGAGTTATGAATGATAAAAATTTTTAAAAAATGTGTTTTAAAGGTTTTTAATTTTGTAAATAAAATTAAATTCTTGAAAATCCGCGAATTTTTATTTTTTAAATCCGCAAAATTTTTTCCTTCTTTGTTTTAAAATGTAAACAAAAAGAATATGTTTACAATTTAAATAGAAGATGGGCGCGAAGCGCCCTAAAAGCCTATTTATGTGTAAGTCTACAACAATTATGTACAACGTACTGCAGGTTTACAGAATACAATGTTTACACAATATTTGCTACATCATAGCAATGTTATTATGCAAGGACAGTTAATTGCAGTTGCGTATACTCGTTTAGTTTAGTATCCAAGGAGGTTAATAGCATTCAATTTTCATAATTTTGATAGTTTACATAATAGTTTCCTATGACCAAAATATGTCAGGCTTCGACATCCGCCTTGTGTTTACATTACCGCCCAGAGACAATACACTGCCATGCAGTACAAAATGTGGCGTACACCTCTGAAATAACATTATAACCTTGCATCATAGAGTCTTCCTATAGCCTCTCTCTATGATATATCAAAAGAGATGTAAAACAATACAGCTTTTGTTCCTTATAATTAACAAAGACATTCAATATATTTATAAACCCCCTGGCAGGGGGGGGGGTTTGAGGGTTCTTTTCCAATTGACATAAGTTAATTGCTCGATCCAAAGGAATTGAGTCTTTGTCACAAACTATGCTTTTCTAATCTCTATATCTTTGTAGCCAAATGTCGTATTTTAAACATGAATTTTGTTAGATGAAAAAATCTAAGTTTGAAATATCAAAGGTTTACACCATCAGGTGGAAAAAATATAGGTATTAAAAAATCAGAGTTTGTTACAAAGACTCAATTCCTTTGCATTTGGTACAAAATCTCCTTTTTTGATAAATATAATAAAGCTACATCGCTTGTATAAGTCCTAATCAGAAAGACCCGGAATAAATTGACAGCTAATCAGACGACTTTACATGTATATATATTTATATATCTGGTAATTTTAAAAGCACAACAAAGGCAGACCACATTTTGAAATTGGCAGGACTAGGGCTATTTTGTTATCATCGTTTCATTTATCATATTAGAAAAATATATTTGTGAATTCGTCTGTTAATTATAGATAAATTCTGGTTGTTACTGAATTTTCAATATATAATCTCATAAATGATCATGAGTAAATACAATTTTCAGATCTTGAAATGTTTGTTATTTATATGAAATATCCTGAAACTAAGGTGGCACAGAGGAGAGAATATTATCAAAATGTCCCTAATGTGCAGATTATGTTAATGTTCACAAATTATATGCAATACATCGCAAAAATGCAGTGTGATCCCTGGATAATCCATTACAAGTTTTTCAAGTATTCAAATTACCTTTAAAACGTGTATTAGGATAATTAAAATCAAAAAGATTAAAAATCAAAACGTTAAATCTTTTATATAATTTTCAAAATAAATTTTGTTCAAAAAGGAGTTCCAGGGGTCTAAAAGTATTTAAAGCTAAACTGTGTCAAAGAGTGTTTGTACTGAATTGCAGTACGATATCAGTACAATTGGCAGTGTTGCACTTTAACGAGTAAAAGTCACTTTATATAATAATTGTGAATGGACTAAAAGTACAGTCAACATATGTATTATAGTGCCCCTGTCTGTAAGGTCTTAAAGAAAACAAGAAATGTATACTGGTCTGTACTTGTAAATAATTGTACCGGTTCGGATCAACTCTACTGGCCTGTACTTGTAAATAATTGTACCGGTTCGGATCAACTATACTGGTCTATACTTGTAAATGATTGTACCGGTTTGGATCAACTATACTGGTCTGTACTTGTAAATGATTGTACCAGTTTGGATCAACTATACTGGTCTGTACTTGTAAATGATTGTACCGGTTTGGATCAAATATGCTGGGTTTTACTTGTAAATGGTTGTACCGGCTTGGATCAAATATACTGGTTTTTACTTGTAAATGATTGTACTGGTTCAGATCAACTATACTGGTCTGTACTTGTAAATGGTTGTACTGGTTCGGATCAACTATACTGGCCTGTACTTGTAAATGATTGTACTGGTTCGGATCAAATATACTGGTCTGTACTTGTAAATGCTTGTACAGAGGTTCGGATCAACTATACTGGTCTGTACTTGTAAATGATTGTACCGGTTTGGATCAACTATACTGGTCTGTACTTGTGAATTATTGTACCGGTTTGGATCAACTATACTGGTCTGTACTTGTAAATGATTGTACCGGTTTGGATCAAATATGCTGGTCTGTACTTGTAAATGATTGTACCGGATTAGATCAAATATACTGGGTTTTACTTGTAAATGGTTGTACCGGCTTGGATCAAATATACTGGTTTTTACTTGTAAATGCTTGTACAGGTTCGGATCAACTATACTGGTCTGTACTTGTAAATGGTTGTACTGGTTCGGATCAACTATACTGGTCTGTACTTGTAAATGCTGGTACTGGTTCGGATCTACTATACTGGTCTGTACTTGTAAATGGTTGTACTGGTTCGGATCAACTATACTGGTCTGTACTTGTAAATGGTTGTACTGGTTCGGATCAAGCAACAATTATACAAGTGGTGTTGAGTTCCGAAAGCTATAAAGTGTCGAATGAATTCAGTTTTTATACCATATTTACCTAGAATACAAAACTCCTCTCTATCCTTAAAAGTTTTCCTGGAAAATGCAATATTTCAGATTTTAGTGAAATATCCAGTTCACATATTCTGCTGGCGGAGTTATGATTAATCGGAAAAGTAGAAAACAAAATTCTGAGACTTTTTAAAGCGGGCCTTTTTATAGTAAAGAATTAACACACTGTTGGCAAAACCGGCGTAAATATATTTTTCAAAACTTGAGCATAGTTACTTAAAAATAAATATTTAAATTGATATTTGATCTAAAATATTCCTGTTAGGGTAAAGACTCGTAGTTACAAAAAGATCGTTTGTCTGATCCTCACAATTACTCAAACATTCCTGAAATAATATTTTAGAAAGTTTTTTTGAAACTAGGTGTCTCTCTGGTCTCGATTTCAGGGATCGAGACACCTAGTCGCCAAACAAATCGTCGTCAAAAGTACAAGAAATAATTTTGAAGGAAGCCTTAAAATAGAAAATAAACATTCAAATCTTAACAAGAGCGTGCCTAAAGTTTTTAGGCATCTCTGTGTTATCGTAATTTTCATATTCGTTCTGTATTTGCTTAATATTATCTGTTTTAGACTTAGATTCAGGGACTTTTTTCCAAATCAACTTCTAAAATTTCTTTAATGCGCTGAATCTTTTCGGTTTAATTGGATTCGTAGGACTCAGTTATCCCTTTCTTGAATCATTTTCTAAATTATAATTCTTGTTAAATTGCATATAAGTTTACGCTATCAATATAGAATTTATAGTTGTTGTCGCTAAGCGTTACAAACATAAAGAGTAAGCCTCTGTACTCCAAAAATTTAAAATTAGATAATTTTGAGTTTGTTCACAAATTTAATTTTCTAAAAGCAAGATAAATCATTGTTGACATTTTATTACATTGAAAGTAAACAAACAGAATAAGATTTATTCAAACCAGTTTTAAAACTTTTAAAGAATAAAATTACATGATAATAAATCTTACTAGATATATTTCAAAGATCAGAGTGGCGTGTCTGATTCACAACGGTACCCTTGAACGATGCTGTTGATCAAGTATGACTCAGATATCCATAATTTTCTTTTTGAAAACTGATTCTTTTTTTATTTTTGGTTTTTTCTTCAATAGTGACATACGCATTTCTTGCTTCAGAAACAATGGACAAATTAACATAATTCAATACTGCCAGAAAATGACGTTCCATATTGTTAATCAGGTTTCAATTTTAAAGACCGGGTCGGCTTTGAAGTGTCGCTACCCCTCAGTTTTAGTTACTAAATTCCCTTTGCATTTTGTAGCCCTAGATATGTAGAGTTTAGAACTGTTTGTTTCTACCTTCAATTTGAAAGACGACACAGTTTGTTGCAAATTGTCAGAATTGCATTCTTTCTATGTTTAAAGGGACTGTATCTGTAATTTCAAGTAACCCTTTACTCGAAGATGGCAAATGCCCGACATACAACGGTACCCTTAAAAACTTTATCTGATCAAGGATAAATTAGAACTTTTTGTTTTTGTTTCTTTAAACTGTTTAATTTTATTTGCAGTTTTACTGCAATCGGGCATTGTCATCTTTGCATTTAGGGTCACTTCCAAATTCGCTTACAGTCCCTTTAAAGTTGTAAACTAAACCAAAGTTACGTGTATTATTGTTCCCTGGGTAAATCTGCTTGGAACTTATAAGCTTAATATGAAATAATGAAACCCGTCACTCACCAATCACCATTTAAACCACATTAAACCTTATGTTCGACCTTTAGAAATTAACCATAGAAGTACAATAGATGATTCGATGGTTTAATTTTTCGATAACTCTGATCTGCATTTAACGGTTTGGGAGAATTGGTTCAGAATAGTAAACTCGAAATTGCTAAAATTCGTGCTGATCGCTTCTCATAGCTTCAAGTAAATAATTGCGTGCAGGGTTATCCACAAAGATTGAGACTGCAAACTTGTTTATTTTTGCTCAAGTTAATTAGTCAACTGACCAGATTTAATAAATGGAAAGACGTAGCTGATCCGCAAAGACTTGGTTCTGAGCGCCGATTCAATCATTGAACAGGATTGGTTGAACCGCGTCTCTGTGGTTCAACCATGACTTGCTATTCATTAAATCTGGACTTTTCAACATGGTATACAAATCAGCTAAAATTAAAAAATGTACCTTTGTTATATTATCCACAGTATCCATTACCATATTGTATTGACCCATCCTAGAAATATATGATTCTCAAATCTGTTGTCTTTTCCTGAGTAGTATTATTCCTATGAAATAAAATAAAAATCTACAAAAATCTTTTGAATTTCTATTTATTTAAAGTAAAAAAAATCGTGTTTGATATCGTCAAAAAGGAGAGTGCTAGGGCAAAAAACTAGAGGAGGAGTCTGGTTAGGGCTAATTTACGTTGCAATTTGATAAAACATCAATTCATTATGTTCTTTAGTTGAACGTAATTTTATTGCTAATTTTGTTATACAGTAATAACCAGAAAACTTTGAAATAGAAAGACAACTTTTAAACACAAGTTATATTTTTAAGAAGTCCAATGAGCATGAGAAAAAGCTATATATTGCTGTGTAACAAATCTATATAACAGTGATTCAATAAACGTGTTGTAAACTAGATACTTTGTAACAAAATAAACTACACTTAAGTATAATGACGTCTTTCTATTATATTGTTTTCTGGTTATTGCTGTAAGATCATGTTATATTTTTTTAGCAGTATAACAACATGTAACTGTTTCATTATAACATCATGTAACTGCTTAATTATAACATCATGTAACTGTTTAAATCATTATAATATCATGTTACCGTTTTCTTCAGTATAACATAATGTTACTGTTTACATCAGTATACCAATACGTTACTGATTACATCAGTTTACCAAAACGTTACTGTTTACCTCAGTTTAACATTATGTTACAGTTAATTATACCATCATGTCACTGTTTAAATCATTTAAACATTATGTTACTGTTTACATCAGTATAATAACGTGTTACTGTTTACACCAGTTAATATCATGTTACTGTTAACATTAGTATAACATCATGTTACCGTTTATTTCAGTACAACATCATGTTACTGTTTAAATCAGTGTAACCACACTTTATTGTTTACATAAGTATAACACTATGTTACTGTTTACATCAGTTTAACATCATGTTACTGTTTTTATCATCAAAAGCATGATGTTATTGTTTACATCAGTATACAATCGTGTTACTGTTTACATCATTATTAAATCAGTATACTGTTTAAATCAGTATAAAATCATGTTACTTTTTAAATGAATATTGCATCATGTTACTGTTTAAATCAGTATAACATTATGTTACTGTTTACATCAGTAAACCATCATGTTATTGTTTACATCATCATACAACCATGTTACCGTTTATATCAGTATAAAATTATGTTACTGTTTACATCAGTAAACCATCCTGTTACTGTTTACATCATTATACAATCATGTTACTGTTTAGATTAGTATAACATTATGTTACTTTATACAACCGTAAACCATCATGTTACTGTTAATATCAGTATACAATCATGTTACTGTTTACATCTGTATAACTAAATGTTATTGTCTACATCAGTATAACACTATGTTACTGTTTACATCATTAAAACCTAAGGTTACTTTTTACACCACTATAACATCATGTTACCGTTTACATGAGTTTAACCTTATGTTACTGTTTACATCAGTATGACATCAGGTTACTGTTTACCTCAGTATAACATTATGTTACTGTTTACATCAGTATAACTCATATTACTGTTTACATCAATATAACATTCTGTTACTGTTTACCTCAGTTAACATCATGCTACTGTTTACACCAGTATACCATCATGTTACTATTTATATGACTATAACATTATGTTACTGTTTCCATCAATTTACCATCATGTTACTGTTTATATCAGAATAATCACATTTTACTGTTTGTATTAGTTTATCAATATTTTCTTTTTTACATTAGTATACCATAATGTTATTGTTTACATCAGTATACTATCATATTACTATCTATATCAGTATAACATCATGTTACTGTCTACTTCAGAATAACATCATGCTACCGTTTATTTCTGCATAACATCAAGTTACTTTTTACATCATTATAACTTCATGTTACTGTCTACATCAGTAAAATATTATATGTTACTGTTTACACCAGTATACTTTCATGTTACTGTTTACATCAGTATACCATTTCGTTACTCTTTAAATCAGTATAAAATCATGTAATAATTTACATCAGTATATCATTATATGATACTGTTACATCAGTATATCATTATATGATACTGTTACATCAGTATAGCATCATGCTACTGTTTACATCAGAATATCATCATGTTACTGTTTACATCACCATTTAACAACATGTTACTGTTTACATCAATATAGCATCATGTTAAAGTTTACTTCAGTATAACATTATGCTATTGTTTACATCAGTACATTAACATGTTACTGTTTACATCACCATAACGCATGTTACTGTTTACATCAGTATGCCATCATGTTACTGTTTTCATCAGTATACCATCATGTTACTGTTTACCTCAATATAACAACATGTTACTATTTACATCAGTAAACTATCATGTTACTGTTTACATCAGTATACCATCATGTTACTGTTTACATCACCATAACAACATGTTACTGTTTACATCAGTAAACCATCATGTTACTGTTTACATCACCATAACAACATGTTACTGTTTACATCAGTATACCATCATGTTACTGTTTACATCAGTATACCATCATGGTACTGTTTACATCAGTATAACATCATGTTATTGTTTATATCAGTATAACATCATATTAATGTTTATATCAGTATAACAACATGTTACTGTTTACATCAGTACAACACCATGTTATTGAATACATGATTTACCTATTTAGTATCTCATTAGAGCAGGCTAGCTCAGAACCTTTGCAAACTTCGTACTTCTACACATCAATCAATCAATCAATCAATTAATAAATTGTTCTCTCATAAATCAATCATATAGGGAGTATTTAGTCCGATTCACAAAAGTACCCTTTAAACTGTTAAAAAAATACTCATTTTGAAATCTATTGTTGTTTTCTGGCTTAAAAAGCGCTTAATTCTTATAATATTCTCCATTGTCGTTTATGAAAAACTGACTGCAACTCGAGTTTTTAGAAAAACCACATAAAACCAACCTTTTAAAAAGAGGAATCATGGATTTTTCATTTTCTCCTGATCAGACAAAGCTGTTCAGGAAATCTATGTGAATCGGACATGCCACTCTTTAAATGGAGGGAATTTAAAAAGTACTTCTTCAATTTACTGTTCCAGAAATAACCCAAAAATGCCCAAAATCCAAGGAATAAATTGCAAACTGCAAATTATTCCCCCCTTTCTAATACTCGTTAGTCATTGTTACCCCTAAACCTATATTGGGACAAAGTGGATTTGTTTTTGCATAATCAACTAGAAATCAGTATATCTATCTATCTATCTCTATCTATCTATCTATCTACAGGGTGTCCCAAAAAACATAGGAATTCAGTGACGAATTGTATATCGTCTTTGCAATGAATTAGCATTATAATACCTAATTTCAAAAGCCATAATATTATTATGTCTTCTAGAGTTTATTTTATGAAAAGTGGAAAAGACTTTTTTAAAGATGTGTCTGTAATGTCTTCGCAAGATTGAAGACGAACAAGTTTACTCTGTTTGTATACTGCAATTTTCTTCTTTTACTAAGTACAACCGTATGGAGTCAAAACATAAACACACAAAATGTGAATATAGCAGACGAAACTCTTTCAGAGTACAGCTTTCTCAGTTGGTATCACTATACTAAAACAAAGAATTATTTAAAAGACAATATTAAATTCGTCACTGAATTCCCATGTTTTTTGGGACACCCTGTATTTATCTATCTATCAAATCTATCTATCTATTTATCTCTATCTATCTATCTATCTATTTATCTATGATGATATGCTCCTGCATGGCGTCAGCTCCACCTTCATTATGAAACCCTGGAGACAATAAGGATTAAAATTATATTTTTAAAGAATCAAAATAAACTTTTAAAAATCGAGATATTTTTCATCAGAATTATATTTCAATTAATTCCACGGGCAACGCCAGTCTCTTGACCAAGTAATACCATGATTAAGTTAGGATCACATCATAATAAAAGATGTGTTTGAAAGCTAGAATACTTAAAATACTGTTAATTAAAAAACTGGTGAAATCAATCTACCAAAAAGGTAAATCCAAGTTTTTTGCCTTCATTAAGCAGACATGTTTTGCAAACTAAAGGTTTTGATAATTGTTGGCCTAATTAATTCCAAAGAGGGGTATTATGAGTACATTATAAAAAGGGTGAACAAAGTTTTTTTATTGCACTGGCTTTAATAGTCTTTTCCTTGAGAAAGGTCGTTGAAAGTTCGCCCCCCCTTTGAGTCTATACATAGATTCAGCCCCACCTCTACTGTGTAATTTTTATCTTTTTTTTGCAATTTAAAGTTTAAATACAAAATGTTATGAAAGTTACCAAATAAGATAAAAATTCTCCGAGATGATTTTTTGTGTATTTTATATAAAAGAAAAATCCAATATTATGTGTTGAGTTTAGACAAGACGAGAAGTGAAGGCTCGGTTTCTGATTGGAGAAATGAGATTATGGAACCCCACTCCTACCAATCTATACACATCACAGATATTTAGGGGAAATAGGAAAATATCTTTTTAACCACGTCAGCAAAAAAAAAAAAAAAAAAATTCTTGTATTTCATTGGTGAAAAATTGAACTTCTACAATTTTCATTATAAAAAGAAAACAAAATGAGGGAAAGATAAAAAATAATTTACTTATTATTATTAATTTAAAGCATTTTTCTGACTCCTGTTAAAGTGATTTCAAGTAACCCCTCCGATTTTATGCATAGATATATTTTCAAACCTAGAAAAACGGCAGTATCTTCCAATATCATTGATCAGATAAAGTTTTTAATGGTACCGTTTGTTAATCGGACATTGCCATCTTAGCATGGAGGGTCACTTGAAATTATGCTTGCAATCCCTTTTATTGAGAATAAATCTATTGTTGTAAATACTTTTCATAATATTTTGCAGGTTTAAGAGGAAAAAAGGAAAACATCATTGTATGAAAAATAGAAATGTTATTTGAGTTTTTATCTTTCAATATTTTGCTCGTATGTTAATCTCCTAATCTTTGATGAAAGATTTACAAATTTGAATTTCTTTCAGCTGTCATTCATTGTATAACAATGAAAAGGGAATTCTTCTTAGAAAATTGGAATTGATTGATTGATGGGTTAACACCATCTATTTATTTAGAAATAGGTTGTGGCATTTATTTGGCAATCTAATTTCAGCGATATTGTTCCTGAACAATAATCACTAAATAGCCTAGTCTTGGTTTTTCAAAAATGGGGCCTGCCATTATTTTACTTCAAAACAACCAGAGATGATATGAATTTAGTATAGATTTCCATCGATTAAATACAACTATAAGATTGTCCAATTCTGTGCGAAATCATTCATGTCTATGATAATTATGAAAGCACAAAAAAAGCAGACCACATTTTGGAAATGCTAGAACTGTGCCTATTTTTTGTCATTATTACAAATTTTGCTAAAATTAGGTTGCCACATAAATCCCGCAAACTATCTCTATAAACGACCCTCAAGTCTTCAATCAACTGATAGATTAATCTTGTTTGCTAAGAAAGAATAACACTGCAGTAAAATTCAAATCTTTTTGTCATAACTAAACAATAATTTTATCCTTGATGTCAAGATCCACTTTTAGATCTGAATATATTTTGTTGGTAAAGTGATGGAAAAACTACACCATGCATAATAATATTATTACTTTTGACGATTTTATAATAAGTTAATCCTTCCTGGGGCGCATTTACAATCTTCAAGTATTTTCTCAAAAGCAGCTTCAAACAAACAGTTGGACATCTCATACCTGTACCTAAATAACATATCATTTAGTAATTGTTTTCTCTTGCAGGTATGCCGTTAAGTGATATCCGATTCACAACGGTAAACCCTTTACCCCTTTATCTGATCAATAATGTGAAAGATATTGTCATGTACCGTACATGTGTTTTCTATATTAATACCTCTTTGCTCTATATGTGTAAACACAATATTTCCACTGACCAAAAAAATCTTCCTAATATGTATTTCTGCTTTAAAAAAGGCAGTTGAACTTCCTTATGGAATGATTCATCTCTATATTGGGGTTTTAGCATTTCTAGATAAAGATGGGCATTGTTTTTTGAACAAACAAATATTTAGAGAACAAACTCATACTTTGGAAAAAAGGTTTGGTTCAGAAAAAAAACGAAGGATGGACGAACGGATTGGGTCATTCAGAAAAAAAAAACGATATAGATGGAAAATGAACCATCATTTTGAGAACAAAGGAAAGAATTTTTTTGAAGGAACGGAAAAAACGAAAGATCAATGTGAAAATGAAGGTAAATGAAAGCATAGAAATCAAAATCCTAAATGGTCTTATCCTAAACATGTTTGCAGAAAAATGGCAGAACAGTAGACAATAAACATTTTCCTGGGTTTCCTGAGAACAAGACATCTTGTTTGTTTTAAATTTTTACTGAACAAACGAATATTCCCGATTTTGAAAGAACACAATAGTTTTTTTTAATAAATGAACAATTTGTTGAACAAACTTTAAAAAAAGATTGTTTTTTTTTACCGAACCAGTGATTTTTCAAAACAAACTATTATAAAAAACTCTAGTTTGATTTCTGAAAAAACGATTATATTGCACAAACTATTTTACTAAACAAAGGATTTCACTGAAGGCTCGATCAGTGAGAAAACGAACAAATTATAGATATAAAGTGAACAATAATCTTCAGAACTACCTAAATAAATTTTTTTGAATGATCAAAAAAAAAAAACTAGGATGGTTTTTCACAAATAATATGAATGAATGAAATGAAATAAAGTCAAACTCGCTCATTTCTAGGTCAGTGTTGATAACAGAATTTATGCAAGAAAGTCACGGAAAATAGTTTCTGGAAAAAATCCTGGGAATTTAGACTTGGGGTAAAAATCACAATTTCCATAAAAAATGTCACTAGAAATTAAGTTAATTCTCTGGGACTTTTTCCTCTAAAATATTATGGAGACTGTGCCAATAAAGTCTCAGAATAAATAATACCGGAATCAAAATCCTTTTGGCAACAACAAAAATTCAAAAAAATTTTGTTCCAAATACATACAACTTTTAAAATTCTTCTTAAAGGATCACACCACACATATTAGATCGATTTATTTGAATATTTATATTCATTATATTGTAATTTTTATTTGAATGAGTTATTTTTTACCTAAATAATTTTAGTATTCTTTAATTTTAAACAATCTTAAAATTTGTAAAGTACACCTTGTGGGGTTTAAGGTGCTACCAACATTTTTTTTCTCTTTTAGTGGCAGACGCTACAATAAAATTACACAAAAATGTAGCGCCAATTAAACCTTTAAAACATTTATCATGTCACTCAACTTAACAAATCAAATTGAGACTTTAAATCCAATTCAAAGAAGCAATAGTTTGTAATTCAATTAATTACCCATGAGATTTTGGCAGATACATCAGATCTATTTCATGCTCTTGATAACAATCTCTTTGTGAGGGGGTGAACCGGTTTAACACCTGCAATACAATGTTATAAGATTTATCATCATTACTATCCTTCATTAATATAATTTAAATATTCATTTTTTATGATATATAAGGTTAAATTAATCTGCAGATTAAAACAAAGATCATTAAACTTTTATCATCATTATTAGTTTAACAATCAGGGGCGTATGGGGGGGGGGCCGGGCCCCCCCGCCCCCTTCTACGCGTGCCCCCCCTGAGAGGCTGAGAGGGGGCACCCATGAGGGAGGCTCTTTTAATATTACATCTGCTTGCATTTCCCTTCCTCAGGCCAAGCACAGTGGCGTACCTAGGGGGCAGTAGTCCTGTTGCCCCCCCCCTGGAAGTTCCAGGCGGGGCACTGCCCCCCCTGGAAAATACAAAATTAAAAGGAAACTACGTTTAAAAAGTAACACCTGACAATGACAAAGACTAAGGATTTGTCTGAATTCATTGATAACACAAGGAGAGAAAAGTTTTGGCCTTCTAAAGAGAATACTTCATTACACAAGATGTACTATGACGGAGAGCAGACTTAACGATCTTGCACTTAAAGCTTTACACCCTAAAAGGCTGTCTGAGCTCTCTAGTGAAAAAATCATTGAAATGTTTGTGCAAGCAAATCCCAGAAAATTGTAGCTTAAAAGAGATGGTGAATATGAAGATAGTGTAAATTCTATCTAAAAATTTCAGAAGAAATTTCATTTATTAGTAAAAATATAATTTTTAATGATGCTGTGATTATTGATTTATGGTATTTTTATGGTGAACAAAACAAGTCCAGGTGGAGGGGGGCAAAAAAAAATAAAAGAGGTATCAATATTTTTTCAAAAAAGGGGTTTTTATGGGGGGGCATACTGTTGCCAAGGGGGGGGGACCCCAAAATATTTTTGTGCCCAAATTGTGCCCCCCCTAAACAAAAGCCCTGGTACGTCCCTGTTGACAATCTCGTGTCCACATAAAAGATATCAGAAGTATCACAATCATGATCATTATCAGTAAATGTATTTTCTGCATTCGGAACTCAACTGTCCATATATATACTACCACTCAAACTTGTCCTAGAATGTTCAAAACTTTTAGCCAAAATTTAAAAAGTCTTAAACATATATAAATTTTTAAATTTTGTTGAATGAAGATAAATATATAAATGGATTTAAGGCGAGCATAAGATCATTTACTACAGCCAAAAAATATATAAATTGATAATAACTATAGTTCCTGCATTGAATCAAGCATGGGGATTAAAATCAGTTTTTGTCCTTAATGCAGCAATTCATATAAATCCCATACATCTTGTAAATCTTAAAAAAATTGAATTTGAGAAAGAGGTTTTTTAGAAACATATGAACAGTGAAAACCAGAAAACTCCAGTATAGGAAATGACTTTTAGACTCAAGTATTGACGTTGAATAGCCCAATGAACAAGGGGGCACAGTAATTTTGCAGTGTGAACAGACCCATTTCTTTTACAAAGTGATTTATAACTTAATAAAAGACCTAATTGCTTAGTAACAACATCAAATTTTGTTTAATGTCGTCTTTCTATTCTACAGTTTTTTGATGAAAACTGTATTAGTTTTATTTCTTTTATTGATTAGGAAATATGTCCTTCTATGTTGGTCCAAAATATCTAATTCCCAAAATTCACTGTGAAACAAAGGTTTTAAACATTTTATTATGCACATCTCAAAATATTGAGTTTTCTAGATCTCGGAAAGGAATCATGGGTCTTTGCCACAAACTCAATTTTTTCTAATTCCTGTAACAATCCATGTTGTAAATCTTTTAAACTAAGATTATTTGATCTTACAGAATTCATAGTTTGAAATATCTCAATTCACGACATTTGGATACAAATATAAAGAAGGAGATCAGAGTTTGTGGTAAACACTCAAGTCCTTTTTTATTTGATAGACAAAATAGACCAAAGGCCGAATTTTGAGAATTTTAAACACATCTGGATGCAGTTCAAACATGGTCAGTTCTGCTAAACAATGTACTAAGTGTTTCAAGATTTGAGCTGCCACTCAATTGGAACCAATTATGGGGGTTCAGCAACGCAGTTTAATTTTTTTAAATTCGACCTCTGGTTTCAATTGTACATCAGAATTTTTTGTGAAATTTCAAAAAGATGAACAGTCCCTCTATTGATTACCTGTGGGTTTGCAGTGTAAAGTGTAGGAGTGATGGGAATTTGATTTTCGGTTCCTGAATCAATTAAATCATTTAACCTGGCTGTAAACTTAATTAAATTCAACAGTTAGGTTTTAAAATATATTTTTCTATTTTCCCAAAAATATTTAATATTGAAAATGTTAACTTGCTTTTAAAATATTTAACAAAAATTCAATTCCACGAAACATTGAATAGTTACAACTATGCATATTCATATTTTTCAGCATAAGAATATTTTATTAATTTCATAGTTTGTAGAAAACATGCACTTGTTAGTATCTCTATTCTCTACAAAGAGAGTTGATATCTTTTATATCACATTTATAAATTCTATAATTGTTGCATAAAACCAAAAAATCTTCAAAAATCACAACACTGGATCAATTTAGGGTTTTCTCATAAGATTTTATTTTTTGAAATTATTAGATAACTTGGAGAAAATACGAAATAATAATTCTGCTAAAAACTATGTTTGTTAAATCTGATTGAATCTTAAAAAAAGCATAGACTGATATTATATATTGGTCAAACTTTAAATAAATAATTGCTCCATTGTCCTTTTATTTTTGAAACCTGTGCAAGAAAGACAAGGTTGTGTAAGTTTGAAGCATGAAAGTTTGACAGGAAACAAAACATTAAATTAAATGATTTTTAAAATTTTATAAATTATTTTAATTTCTATTATTTTACAAGCTGTCAAGTTTAAAGCATAATATTCAACTATAACTATACATTTGCAAAATTATACCAGGTGTTAAAGAACATTTTACATTAAAGGAAATTTATTCTGAATTGGGATCTTTCTGCAAATAATTTCTGCATAATATTAGTATTATAGAAAACATTGTTAAGATTTTGCATAATTTTTTCTACTCATTTAGTACTCTGAGAATCATCTGCTTTTTACGAAAAATGGGATTTTTTAAAAATATTTTTATTTAAATAAATTCAGTATACTTTTACATAAAGTGTTCTTTTAATGTTTTGCTCAATTTTTTTAGAAAAGCAAATACAGTTTGATCCAACAAACAATCTGATAGAATCCTTTTGGTCGATTCCTTTTCAAATCCAAACAATCAGTAAAACTAAGTAGAATAACATTTTTGGAAACAGTTAAATTTTTTTCTTGGGCACTTTTCTAAATAAAATTATTTATTATTTTTAAGCAGTGTAAAATATTATTATTTTATGCTAACCTGGAGCGACATGAAAAGCTCTTTGTCTCATAATTGGCATATCAAGATGGTGGGTTATAGCTACCTTGAAACCAAGATTTTATGAGATTTAAGATCAATAAATAATTTATTGTACATAGGAAAGTGTTTCCAGCTTATTACTAACCCCTCTTCTAACTAAGGGGGTCAATTTGAACCCCCACTATTGTTTTTTTAGTCATTAGTCAAAATTCTCAAAAAAAAATTTGCGATAGTTTTGAGATTAGGTGGTAACAAAGTTGAAGCTAAAGTCATTCTTTCTTCTAATTAATTCAATTGTTAAGATTGTAAAAAAGCAAGGTTATTGATATTACATGAATACGTTTAAGTCAATTGTCAAGGCTTCAAAAATATTCTTTTATTCTTTATTATAATAAAATGATTTGAGTTTGTGGTAAATGCTCAATTCTTTTTCACATAGACACTTTAAAATCTAGAATTTGCAAAATCTTACATAAAGAATTCAAATATTTAATTGATGGCCTAAATTTTATTTTACAAAAATGCATGGGGGGGGGCTTAGGTGAGGGGCCTTGTAAAAATGTGTTAATTATTGCAACTATTTTACAGGGAAGTTACTAGGGAATTTTACTTTAATAATTGGGTTCCCAAGGCCAATGTTGTAGAGTATAAACAAAATTGGTTGAGGGAACCCGTCCCTCTGATGGAGCATCATAGGTTGGTTATTTTGATGAAAATTAGGCAAATGTAATATGGGAAATAAAATTAATTGTCATTAAAGTTTTACCTTTAATCCTTCGCTTCCTTCATCATAGTAACCGTAATCAAAGGATTCCACGTCAAATAGTACAGAAAATCCATTATCTTGCAACACATAAAAATTTTTATTCTAAATTAAAAAATTAATTTAAATGTTTTCTTTTTCAAAAAAAGTTAATTAAAGGGATTAAATTGACTCTCTTAGTTATGGCAAAAAAGTGTTAACCTGTAGATCCACAGGGTGAGTAAAACAATGGAATTATCAATGTTTTGGACAAAAATTTTAATTTTTTGTTTGCTTTGGATTTTAGATATAAAATACTAAAATGTGATGAAAAAATTGTTCTAAAATATTTAGGGAACTTTGTATAATTTATTTTAAAAAAATCAATTTTTTGAAAAATGTTTGGTAAATATCTATTGTTTTCTAAACATTTTTAAAAATCCTTTAGAATAAATTGAAAAATAACAAAAATCAAAAACCAATAATTGCATTTTTGCAGTTATAACAGTTAAATCTAGAATATTATTTGAACACTTACTGCAGCTATATCCTCTTTGAATTTTTGAGGATTTTTTGTTATTTCTCATTCAATTTTTAAAATAAAACAATTAAATAAAACATTTTTTACGCTTATAAATCTGAAGTTAACAAAATTCTATAACTATTTTTCAAAACATCTATTATCCCGTTTTTTACTCGCCCTGTAGTCAATGGGTTAATTGATTGGATATTTAATACTTATGAAATTTATGAAATTTACAGTGATAACCAGAAAACTCTGGAATAAAAGGTCGATTTTAGACGGAAGTTATGACTTTCAATAGTCCCATGAACATGAGACACAGCAATTGGGCAGTGTGTATTCAGACCCATTTGAATTAATAATTGATTTTAGAACATTAGAACTTTTGTATGTATTTGCTTTTTTAGTGAAACTAACCAAGCTTTTCTGTTACTTTTATTTTATTTTTAAGATTTGGATTAAAGTGTTCTGTGTTCCTTTTCCAGTTTTAGCGCCCTTAGTGACAGTTCCAAACCAATAGTTCCAGTCTGTCTCAGGCCCGTAGGGTATAGCACTGTAATGATATATTTAGTAGGGTATAGCACTGTAATAATATATTTTAGTAGTGTAAAGTACTATAATAATATAATATAGTAGGGTATAGTACTATAATAATATAATATAGTAGGGCATAGTACTATAATAATATAATATAGTAGGGTATAGTACTATAATAATATAATATAGTAGGGTATAGTACTGTAATAATATAATTTAGTAGGGTATAGTACTATAATAATATAATTTAGTAGGGTATAGTACTGTAATAATATATATTAGTAGGGTATAATACTGTAATAATATATTTTAGTAGGGTATAGTACTATAATAATATAATTTAGTAGGGTATAGTACTGTAATAATATCATTTAGTTGGGTATAGTACTGTAATAATATAATTTAGTAGGGTATATCACTGTAATAATATATTTTAGTAGGGTATAGTACCGTAATAATATAGTATAGTAGGGTATTGTACTGTAATAATATATTTTAGTAGGGTATAGTACCTGTAATAATATAATTTAGTAGGGTATAATACTGTAATAATATATTTTAGTAGGGTATAGTACTGTAATAATATAATATAGTAGGGTATAGTACTGTAATAATATATTTTAGTAGGGTATAGTACTGTAATAATATAATATAGTAGGGTATAGTACTGTAAAAATATAATTTAGTAGGGTATAGTACTGTAATAATATATCTTAGTAGGGTATAGTACTGTAATAATATAATATAGTAGGGTATTGTACTGTAATAATATATTTTAGTAGGGAATAGTACTGTAATAATATAATTTAGTAGGGTATAGTACTATAATAATATAATTTAATAGGGTATTGTACTGTAATAATATATTTTAGTAGGGTATAGTACTGTAATAATATAATTTAGTAAGGTATAGTACTGTAATAATATAATTTAGTAGGGTATAGTACTGTATTAATATAATTTAGTAGGGTATAATACTGTAATAACATAATCTAGTAGGGTATAGTACTGTAATAATATAATTTAGTAGGGTATAGTACTGTAATATTAAAATTTAGTAGGGTATAGTACTGTAATAATATATTTTAGTAGGGTATAGTACTGTAATAATATAATTTAGTAGGGTATAGCACTGTACTAATATATCTTAGTAGAGTATTGTACTGTATTAATATAATTTAGTAGGGTATAGTACTGTATTATGACACCATCGTGCAACAAAAATTTTGTTTGTTTTCATATATTTCGTTCGTTTACAAAAACCATGCCCATCTTTACACCCAATACATTAATCTACAACTTAAAAAGTGTTGGTATGAGTACATCGCATTGTTAACGTTATATTTTAAAAAATTTTAAAATCGCAAAATTTCACTTTAGATCTTTCTTGAAAATATGTGAGATACCACACCATTCGGTTCAGCTGTTTTGACATTTATTAGAGAAACAGATAATTTTAGCTCAAATAATTACCTGAAGTTAAGTTGAGGGGTGTACCAGCAACAAATGCCGTAATCTATTCACATTTCAAAATTGATTTAGTAAAATAAAAGTAGAATTACTCCTCTTTTCACCAATTCTAATTTCTGAAAAGGCCTCACACACACTTATATAATTTCAACCTAATAATGAGACCGTTGATATTGTTATTTTATAAGCTATATATATATAAACACCATTAGGTTGTAAAGGATAGAAAAAAAACATACGCTCAATACATGACAACATGTATACAAATTTCGAATAAACAAACAAGTTTAATTTTTGAACATTATTTTGGAATTAAAAATAAATGAATAATTCTAGAATCATAAAATGTTCCTGTTCCAAAATCTCTTTTGTTCTCAGCATGGTTGTAGGTTGTTGACCCGTTCCATTTAGAATATAGGAACATATCATCACAAGACTAAAATATTGATCAATTAATAATAATAAAAAAGATTTAATTTCAAAAGTATATATTTGTCATTTACCATTGATTCATATAAAGAAAAATTATTAGCAGTAAAATGTTTTAAAATTCAAACTAAATTTTTGTTTTTTATCTGGGCAAATTAGATATTTTAATTTCAAATATGAATTCGAATTTGTAAATGTAATTATAAGTGAACCTTCATTTACAGAGTTGTACATCTGATTCACAGCGGTTCCCTTTACATAAACATGTAAGATATGTCAAGATCATTTTTTTCCATTTTTCAGAAAATTAGTTCAAAGAGTACAGTTGTAAATCTGGTGCTTGTACTTCTTGAAATTACGTCATCATATTTTTGAGATGAAAATTACATTTCACAAATCTTTAGTTTTTAGTCTTACTTCATCCTTTTCCATAGACAGGAAATATTATAAGATTATTATATAAACACAGAATAAGGGAATATCTATATATTGGATAAGATTATATATTCAGCATAATATTTAATGACATGAATCTAATATTCAAGAAAAAACTAGCCAACCTTGGTATTTTGTACAGGTTTTTATCTTTGCAGAGTTTCTCGTTTTTTTTTGGTAAATTTTTCAGTTAATACATTACGCAAGGTGCATACCAAATTTACATCAGTGCTTTTGAAACCTTTCTGTGTTCAATAATGAGGAAAATATCGTCTGTTGTGTAGATAGAAAAGCTTTAAAATCTTACAATTCCCTTACTTTTTTTTTCCAAAGCGAAGTCTATTTATATAAGAAAAACTACAAAAGAAATATATACAGTATATCTACCCCGCATTAGATATCAAAATAAATATTTTAAGGGTGCCGTTTAAATCGAGCATGATCAAATTTGAAATAAAAGTCCCTTTAAGTGGCTAACAGGCTAAACATTTCTAAAAAATATATATAAGGGAGAAATGTAAATAAATATTTATTTGTGTCAAAAATAATGATGATGTGACAATATTATAGAGATTCAGAAATATATTATAAGAAGCTTTTTCATTTTTTTTTTCTCTGAGTCAGATCAAACACATTCTCTAATCTTTATGTTTATTTTTAATTTATGCAAACATCCCATCTCTCCATCCCCACATATCCTTAGTAAATATACACTACATTTTGTTTTTGTTTTCAAAAACTAATTTTCCTTCTCTTGTTTCTGTCTTTTAATTTTAATGATAGTATTTCTTTCAAAATAAATATGGTTGAGATTGTTATATACTTATACCTACCAGTTATAAGTTTTTATTTCGATTATTAGAAATGCATTTATTGATAGAAGTTTATTCAGTTGATATAAAAGAAGTTCATTTGATGAAAAAAGAAATATATATAAATAAACATGGAAATAACTTTAATAAGTTTATACAGTTGCAGCAAGCGTCAAATTAAAGATACTTTATGAAAAGATAAATTCTATGTGAAATATGGGAATTTTTGGTATTTTCGTATTGAAAATATATCAACCTGATAGGAAGTTGATAAAATGGGAATATATATATACTAGAAATTCAAGGCGCTTCGCGCCCTTCTTTCTAGGCTTTTAGGGCGCTTCGCGCCCATCCTCTATTTAAATTAGGAACATGTTCAAATTGTTTACATTTCAAAACAAAGATGAAAAATTGTTTTGCAGATTTTTAAAAAAAAATCGCGGATTTTCAAAAATTTAAATTTTTTTACAAAATTAAAAACCTCTTAAACACAAATTTTTAAAATTTCAATCATTCATAAACCTTCCCTGGGGTCCCTAGATGTCCCACAAAAAATTTGGGCCCGATCGGTTCAGCCGTTTTGACGTTTATTGGATACAAACAAACAGACAGACAGACAGACAGACAAGCCAAATTTATATATATATATATACTACAAATTCAAGGCGCTTCGCGCCCTTCTTTCTAGCCATAGAGGGCGTTCGCGCCCATCTTTCTAGCCTTAAAGGGCGCTTTGCGCTCATCTTCTAAATTAGTAGTGAACATGTTCTCTTTTTGTACATCGTAAAACAAAACAAAAATAATTCGCGGATTTTTACAATAAATTTCGCGGATTTTCAAAATTTTAAAAAATTTAATGACGATCGAATTTTGATAGAGACAAATATTTGAAATTTTATTTTTTCATAAACCTTCCCTGGGGTCCCTAGATGTCCCACAAAAAATTTGGGCCCGATCGGTTCAGCCGTTTTGACGTTTATTGGATACAAACAAACAAACAAACAAACAGACAAACAGACAGACAGACAAGCCAAATTTATATATAGATTTACTCAGATATAGTTTCCCATTATATTAACCTGATGAGAAAGCCAAATAATGGATTTGTTGATACTAATGTTTCGTACTAGCAAATAGTTCTTCAAAACCTGAACAGAGTTTTAAATCTAAACCATTTATTTGTTAGGAAAGTTTTATTTTGTTTAAATAAGGCAAAAAGTTTTGGGCTGAGGCGTTTACAATTAGATCGGAGGTCTAAGTCGGAACTTTTTTAATAACATTTAAAGACATTTAGAGACATTTTTAAAAGAAATTTTGCAGTCCTTTTTGTATCAATTAATGATAATAGTACCCTTCCAAATAGACATTCCTTTACATTCGGAAAATAAATGATTAACGACCATTGCTGTTCGAATACAACAAGGTACCCGGCCGTAAATCCTTGATCACGCTCTTTAACCCTATCCATGCTGGGGTACTTGACAACCAGGATACGCTGGGGGGGGGGGTCAATTTGACCCCCTCCCCTCTAAATCCCATGTTTTATGTCAAATTACATGTTTTATAACAAATGATACATCATTAGAAAGCTCTTGTGCTCTACTTTTAGAATCTGCAAAAAAATTGCAAATTTGCAAAAATTGAATTTTTTATTGCAAAATCCAGTTATTTAGTAAAAATGTGTGCAAAAAGAAATTTATCCAAAAAATGAAAATTATACATTTTTGAAAAGCCCTTGACCATGCCGTTTCAAATATGCAACAATTTTTGCAAAATTTAAAATAACCTGATTTTTAATGGAGAGAAACTAAAAATGTGCAAATTTCCTTTGACAGGTTGTTTGCAAAAAATTTGCAATTTTTTTCGCAAAACTTGTGCAATCCGTTTCCTTATGTTATAGGCTTTACAAAAAGCTAAATTTTATAAAAATCTGACAAGTGAAAGTGGGTCAAAACAAAGATTTAGTTTGTTACAGGCAAAAGCATTCATTCAGGCAGTTAGTATTAAAGCCCGGTTTTAGGCCTAAAGGGAGGGCTTTGGGTATGTAAGAAAAGTCAGAAAATTTCAAAAGCCTCAGACCAATACTTTTTGAGTTATGTAAAAAAAAACTACAGGGGGGGGGGTCAAATTGACCCCCCTCCCCCTAGCAGGAATAGGGTTAAAAAGTTTGAATTTATTCTTGTTTTTCTATTTTAAAAGTAGTAATTCTTGGCTGTGGTTTATTGAAAACATTGCCTTGATGATTTACGCAGCAGATCTAATCGTGGATATCAATCAAATTTGACACTTTTAACAAAGTAAAACGAAGATTTTTCTTATTCTTGTTCAGATTACAAATGGATTTCACATTTTATGAATCAGACAAGCCACTCCTCCATTGGAGGGACATAATAAAATTCAAAAAATAGAATGATACAATAATATTTTTTGAACCTATTCCATAGCGGAGAGTTAAATATGATTTACAGAAAATACCTCGTAAAATTCTTTCCGTTTTAAATCATGCTGTTCATCATTTTCTGTTCCAAGCCCTAAACATAAAAATTAAAATATTATTTTCATTAAAGCGGCTTCCCAGTACTATAATACCCCCCCCACACCCCTTCCTCCCAATTAAGATCTTATCAATTAAGAAACAAATGAAGAATTGAATGATTTGTGTCTCTAGAAATGTTCCTTTTATATTGTATATATATATATATATATATATATATTTAAATAAAAGAATTGAGTTTACGGGCGCTTTGCGCTTTTCTTTTGACAAGTTTAGATTTAATCCGTTTCTCTCCAAATTGCAATTTTTCTTTGTAAATCGTATTTCCCTGGATTTTTCGGTTGAAATTGGCGCAATTTTTAAGACAGTAAATGTTGAAATGTAAATAAGAGGGCACTTTTCATTTAAAGGCCAATGCTTATTTAATTCTATTGACATGGGGGGTTATCAAATAAAGGTTAAATTAACTTGCATTAAATTAAAGATTGAGATTAAGCATTGATCTTGATATTCACTTTACAAGATTTCTCAGCTCTGGTTGTTTAATGATATCAATAAACATCGTGAACTGTTTATTCTTTTATAACAACGAAATTCAAAATACAAAATGTTTTTATTCTTGGTAAATGAGTAAAAGTTGTATCAAATAATATACCAATACAAAATATTAAGAAGTAATAAAAATTAGACTTAATGATATAACTTCCCCAAGTTCCACAAACACAGAATTTATATCAATCTTTTGTTGTTCTCCAAACTTAAGAATAAATAAAAAAAATATATATTTAAAGGGAGTGACCGGCTATGTAAGGTAGTTGAACTGAGTATGCAGTGTTGTGGAAAACTTCTTTCGGATTCATTTGAGACATATTAAACTTTTTAAAGATCTGTAAATCCTGAGTTTGAGCGCAAATTCGACGATCAAAACTCCTACTTTGGGGGTGGATACGTTTTCAGAATAAGTTTTTTTTTTAATGTTCACCTGTATACGTAGAGTTGTCAGAATTATCCTGAAGAGAAAAGCGGTGTCACAACATTTATAAAAAAATCTTATAAAATGCTCTAAAAGTTTGTAAAACAAAAGAACAAATTTGTTTTAAAAGTATTTTTTATGTTGATGAAGGTACATTTTAACAAATAATTTTCAGATTATAGAAAATGTAAATTAACCGGCTCAGTAACATCTCGCCATATAACATCTCGCCATATAACAACTTGCCTAAATAACATTTCGCCAAATAACAACTTGTCATTTTAAATTTCTACATTTAACAACAATGCGTCTAAATAACAGCTCGCCATATGAAAACAAAAAAAAACAAAATAATAAAAATTTTATTCAGAAGAAAGTTATGAAATATTGGTCAGCTATATTGATGAATACATAGATATATATAAAGTAGATTAAAATTTAGTGTCGGAGAAGTTGTTTATGTCAACCAAACATGGTTTCCCCCGCTGAGTTGTAGATGCTTGCAGTACTCCCGACATTGTTGGAATTACTATATTTGCGAATTTTTTGTTTTTGATTCGTGGATTTTCATTTACACTACAGTTTGATTTTACAATTCATATATAGACGAGTTGTTGTGTATGGCGAAATGTTACTTAGGCGAGTGGTAGAAGAAAGTAATGAAATATTGGTCAGCTATATTGATGAATACATAGATACATATAAAGTAGATTAAAATTTAGTGTCGGAGAAGTTGTTTATGTCAACCAAACATGGTTTCCCCCGCTGAGTTGTAGATGCGTGCAGTACTCCCGACATTGTTGGAATTACTGTATTTGCGGATTTTTTGTTTTTGATTCGTGGATTTTCATTTACACTACAGTTTGATTTTACAATTCATATATAGACGAGTTGTTGTATATGGCGAAATGTTACTGAGGTGAGTTGCTACTTAGGCGAGTTGTTACTAAGGCGAGTTGTTACATAGGGTAGTTGTTACATGTCGAGCTGTTATATGGCGAGATGTTACTGAGCCAATCAACCCTTTTTTGTTCTTCTCAATAATAGCAAGAGTTGATTTAAAATATGTAAAAATTTATTCTAACGTGCGAATTGCTTAAGTTTGACGTGGTTAGCTAAAAACTATAGCAAACATATAGAAATACTTGCACTAACAAATTAATTTGCACAAAAAGATTTGATTCAATATTTTGTTGTGTCCTCCTTCCCTTTGTGCCTTTGATGAAATCCTCGTACATAATTCTCACCAAGGTTTCATTTTCATAGAAACCTGGTTTTTACATGATTATCCTAATACATTTACCTATATAGATCCAGACAAAAGTTGCTATGACAAGCAGGGGTGACTTTAACCCTATTAGGGCTGGGGGTCTGAATCTATTGAAAGCCCTCTAGAAAAATACCTAATAATAAATGTATAGGGTTGCAATGCAAGTTCATAGCCCAATTTTTTTCAAGACCAACTCATTGAAAATTACCTGTAAAAGTTTGGATTCAAGAGAGGATAAGATAAAAAAATTACAAAAAATCCTTTAAATAACTTTTCTTTAAAAGTAAAAAAATGTCAATGTGTCAAAAATTGGATTGGTAGCTTGGATAAAAAAATGGCGGGGGGGTTAAAGTGTCGCAAAGCCTTTGCCTATGATTTGCCTTAAAAACTAACTCATACTGTTAGTACCCCTAGACATGTACAATGTACATTTCAGTTGTTAGTTTTCAACCATTGAACCCATGTTCTGTCTATTCAAGAAAGAAGCGGCAAAGTGAGGAAAAAAGGAAATGATTTATTGCCGCAAACTTTAATTTTTCAATCCCTATATATCTTTGCAACCGGATGACGTAAACTTTATTATTTCAATCTATAAGTCCTGTCAGATAAAACAGTTTCAGTTTGAAAGATCAGGTTGCAAGATATGGGGATAAGGAAACTTGATGGTAAGTGGCAAAAACCTAATTTCTTTATTTAAAATGTGGACAAATGTGTTTATGCCTTAGATGCCAACACGATTTCCAAGATTTTTGTTTCTTAATTGGAGAATATCCGTTTACAATAAATCTTTTAAAAAAAGGAAAATTCATAATTTACAGTTTGAAATATAAAAATTACACTATCAGAATCTTTTTATTAGCATATATTTATATATATACAAGTAAAACTATTGCCGTAATGTTCATTGTAATAGTAAAATGCAAAGTATTTTTTGTCTTCTATTTGTTCTGAAAAGACTTTCAGAAAATTGGAAACACTTGACCTCATTTCATTGATGTTATCTAATTTTCAAAGTTCTAAGCACTGTCTTAAACTCAATTTTATCCTCTCTCTGTGTAAATTGAATGAAGTGTCTAGATAGCACAGAAAACTAATTTGAAAACTTCACTTTTTTGGACAAACGATTTAGATGATTTATGAACCGCATCAGGTTTACTTTAAATATTTTATAAAATGAGTTTATCCTTCCTTAAGGTAATAATGAAATAATTCTATAAATGTTTTTTTATAGTCCTGGTTACTATATATTACTTTTAGCGTTTTTAATTTAAAGATCCTGAAAAACCAAGGGGTGTCACTTTGTTGGTACATTCTTTTTCCCATAGATTAGTAGCAATACAGATAGAACACTAGATGTGCTCAAGTAATACTGCATTTTTTAAGGATAAGTTTTAATTTCCACCCTTTAAAAATATCAAAGAATGAAGGAGGTTCTATTTCTCCTGAAAAGACAAAGAAAGAAGAGGGAAGGGGGTCAACACCAGCAATATATTCAACCCCCCTACCCCCCCTCTTATAAAATAAGTGCCCAAAATAAAGTAATAAAGAAAAAGGCATAGATTAAAAACAATACAGATATAACACTAGATGTCGTCTTTTCAAGATTTAGGGGTTTTTCGTTCACAATAACCCGGAGGTAGAAGCCCAAAGTAGTTACGCCAGGCCTCTCTCCGTATCGTATTCAACGTGGCATACGCGTAACAGGGTTATTGTGAACGACAAAACCCTAAATCTTGAAAATACGACATCTAGTGTTCTATCTGTATTGTTTCTAATATGTGTCTTTTCCCTTGCTAATGGTAGATGGGAAAGTCTACTAAAGTCAACGAGTGTGGGTTCACACCCTTTGCTAATGGTAGATGTCAAGTCTACTACAGTCAACGAGAATACATTTCTACTTTTGCTGAATCAATATGTATTTATAAGTTCAATGAATGCATTCCTGAAAATGTTTTGATTATTTAAGTGCTGACTAGTTATCTACTTGTAAATGCACAATGAATGTATATTCAGTTGAGATTTCAATATGTATACTTTGTTTCAACAAAAACGACCAAACAAAATTATCAAACATCATATTTTGAATTGGCTCATAATAAATTTTCTTTTGTGTTTTATTTTAAGCTGAACCATCATACATTATTATTTTGTATTTTGTGTTTAAAAATAAATACTATAACTATAACTTTATTTAGGGCACTTATTTTATAAGAGGGTGGAAGGGGGAGGGGGGTTGAATATATAGCTTTTGTTGACCCCCTTCCCTCTTCTTTCTTTGTCTTTAAACGGTGGAAATTATAACTGATCCATAAAAAATGCAGTATTACTTGAGCACTTCTGTTATAGCGGATAATTAATAGAATTTTTAGTATTAACGTTAATGGGTGAAGGTTTTTATTTATTAATTTTTATAAGATATTATTTAAAATGTCAAAAACTAATCTTTTGGCCTTGTAGTTCACGCAATTTTGGACATTTAGTATTTTTTCATGTTTTTTTTTACTATTTTACTCAAAAATTAATCTTTAAGGGACTGTCATTGTAGTTTCAAAAGACCTCTTCTCTAAAAAAGGGCATATTCGTTTTTCTAAAAGTGCCCGTAAACCTTTATATGATTAAAAATGCGAGATATATCGTGGTTTGAAAAGTATATAAATCTAATTATTTTCTTTACTATATGTAAAGCAGAAATCAAAAGTAAATTAACTAATTTTCAAGAAATATGAAAATATTCTGTTGTATTTCTTGTATTCTACAGTTAATTATGCCATGATGAAAATGTGTCGGCTATTCCTAACACTTTTTATTTTTATTTTAGGATAATATTCATTTTCCTAATTCATTGAATAAAGATTTTCTGATCTGGTTAATATTACACACCACTACACTGGGAAACAAAACCTAAAAGAAAATATTTTTTATTATATTTTCAAGAAAAGAATATATTTTTAAACATTTGTGAAATAAATCAAAGTTCTGTGCCAACTCGTTCATTGATAGTCTTTAAATTTCCACAGCATTAAATTCACTTTTTTAATTGCATAAAATACTCGAAAATTAAAAAAAAAAGATTATGATATATTTTGTTCTTTTTAGAATATATTAAAACAAAATTTTTTATATTGCTTAAAATAATGTGAATTTCAAACTTCATCGTTACAGGAGGGCGCAATTCAAATAACCAAAGAATCTAAAGAATTATAACAATTAGATTTTTTTACTCGGATCATTCATTATTGCAGCTTTGAAAACTCAAACAAACTCAAAATCTCAAAATGTATATTTTTCAGACCAACACGTACACCTGAGGGTGGTAAATTTCCCAAATACCCAGAGAATTTCTATATTCTGTATATGCTGTCTGTATATGCTGCAAAGTACATCATGTAAAAATAAAATTGTATCAGAGAAACCCGGAATTCAAGAAGTATATCATTGCAAAAAGTATATCATCAGTTAAAATATATAAAATAAATCATGTTTTAAATATGATATAACAAATTGAAGATTTCGCTAGATTTGGTAATAAAGCTCCAGCTGTTTTATTACAGAAAATTAAAAAAAAAAAACAGTTTTCCCCCAGTGCAGTACAGTACAGACAGTACAGTACAGTACAGTACAGTACAGTACAGTACAGATTTACCTGTGAGAGTGGAACCATACTGTCCAGGGTGGTTTGTACTGTACTTTTTAAGAACTCGCTAGTATTGTCGTGTAGAAAGAATCCCCCCGATACAACTAAATCAACTCACTCTTCATTACCAAGTCAGAGAAAAAATTGTTTAGAAATAGTCCGAATTTTCTTCAGTTAAAGGAACCCCCCCCCCCCTCTAATCTATATTAGACCAAAATAGCCGAATAAAAACTTTAAACAAGAGAAAAATCTTTTTTTGCATTTTCGTCAGAAAATATGAAAATTTCTGGGCACGTTTAAACAATTTTCACTTTTCAATCAGAAATGCAGAATGCAGATTTTCTCTAGAATGTTTCAAAGAATTTTCTAAAGATTTGAAATCTCTTTTATGTCAACTCCAGTGAACCAATTAGCGCTGGGGGAGTCGACACTTACTACAGCGCGGGGATATGCATAGTTACACAAACTTGTCAAACTAAGGAGGGGGTGAAATGACGTCATGAGCCCCGCAAAATGGTCTCCAACTCTCTGTAAGCGCAGATGAGTATTTAAAATAACCTGGCGTTACCCCTTTCCTTTGGAATAGGTGTTATAGAATTGATGTATAATTTTTTTTTTAAAATATTTAATATTTATTAGTAATGCAAAGTTTTTTTTGATATACAAGAAAACACTGCATAGCTATTTAAAGATGAAATAATTTCTTTAAAAATGTTATTTATTACTTCTATAATATCTATTCTAACGTTTAGGGGTTGCGCCAGGTCACTTTAAACACTCAACTGCGAATACGGAGGATTGGAGACCATTTTGCAGGGCTCATGGCGGCCGTGCAGCCCCTCCCTCGTTAAACATGTTACAACAAGCGTCACAATTCTTTGATTCTCTGTACATACTTTTAAAACAGGGACTTCCGTATACAAAACTTACTTTAAAGAATTTACACAGGTGTAACTGTTACAGTATAAAGCAGTAAAAAAATAATTTGTCTGATGTAAATTGTTACAAATTTTGCAACTAACTTTTGTTTAATAAATTTGATTAAAAATCAAGATCAGTTTTTGTGGACATTTCTAAGTCTCTATTTTTGATAATACATCATTTTTATCCTGTTGATAGCTTTGTGACAGCTATGTGATACATATCTACCAAAAGCGAATACAAAGGGGTGGGGGGGGGGGCTGATCCTCCTTCCTGGAAAGAAGAAAATTTAAACCGCCGCCTCTGGACAAAATTTTACATTGTAAACTGTTGAGTAGACCATAACTAAATATGTTTTTTGAATTTTTTTTCATTTCATACTGTTAAACAACATCAACAACTCTTCAAGACTGCTTCTTCATGTTGTCTTGATATTACACAGTGTTTTGGTAATCACTGTATTTATGGATAATTTTAAAAAGTAAGTTCCTGAAGCGAAGACTATTATTGACCAGAAAACACTTCTAAAATTGCAAAATAATGATTGAAGCAAAAAAAGGGATATTTGTAAATATTGTAAACTTTGTTGTCAGAAAAATAATTCAAATTGAAAATTCCCTCAGCATTATGGAGTACAGTTTATTTTATGGAAAATTATTCTTACAACTTTTTGACCTCTTTGAACCCAAACTAGCTTTGCAGATATATAGAAGTATTTTAGAAAGAGAAGTTTAAAACCTCAAGCTAAAATAAAATTAATTTTATTATAATGTGAATTGATTATTTACAACATGTTTCAACAGGAATTGTTTTATAATTCAACACTCTTTATAAGCAAAATTTTGTTGTTTGGGAGATAAAATCAGAGCTTGCTGGGACATGGACCTAACTGTTGATATGGTTTTTATTTAATTTTTGCAAATTCCTGTACACATTAGAACCGTTCTCTTCTTCTGAATGGCTGCAACAACAGTTTCTATAATAAGACTAGCTTTTATAGAAAATATACTTCTAAGCTTACTAATTGCCTGACAGCTTGTTAGTAAAACAAAATAGGAATAGAAAGCCGACTATTTCGTAGGGCTGGGCAGGTTCCAGCTTTTTCAAGATGTTTCGTTAACGGTTAGTTCAAACCGTTTTTAGAATATCATCTCAGGCAGCCCTTAGATTTATAGAGGGTTAGAACGAAACTTCGTTTTGTTGACGGTATTTTCCGTTTTTTTTAAAGTTACCGTTAGTTAACGATCTCAATTTTATTAATGGAGAAAATTTTCAACAACCTTTATTGGCTCCAGTCTTTAACAGTAACGTTAGTTTAATATTAACGGTGCTAAAACCCCAACAAAATTTTGTTAATGGTTAATGAAATTGATCACGATTTTGAACACAGAAAACGACATTTAAAAACGTGAAAACACGGAAAATATTTTTTTACTAGTTTCATGAAATTTTAGGAAGAAAAAAATCACTGTTAAAAGAATCCGTTTCGTTTTGTTTTTCAACTAAAGATATTTTTTTCAAAAACGGCTAATCTGATTTGTTAACGATTTAATAATTAACGGATTTTGTCTTTTGCTAACGAACTCTTCCGTTAATTTTCGCAAACCTCCGTTTCGTTAGAAGAACTTTGCCAGTCCTACTTTATTGCATTGATATATATTTATTATTTCTAACTTATTTTACAATATAAAGGAATTAGAAATTTTAAGTGTGTGGCAAGTCTTGGGTAAACAGACAAAAAAAAAATATAAGTTAATCTTGAACTTGTTTTAATTTGATTAGAATTTTTTTTCGCGGTATTTAAAGAAAAAATTACTAATTGTTTGGTTTTAACAAAAACAGGATGTTTTGCCATAGAATTCTTTTATCAGTTCTTTAGGATTGAACTTTATGTTCTTTTAATTATACTGCGAAAGCATTTGAAAGTTTGAATATTTTGTTCAAGTTTTCTAATCGGATGTTAGAAACATGAAATGTTTCATAACTTTGAGCATTGTATTCCAAATAGCAAAAATGTAGATTTCATTTAATAATCTTAAAATAAATTAAAATGATAACCCCATTTTTAAAAATTTTTTACACTTTTGGATTTAAATTATATAAGGCGCAATTTCTATTGACCTTTCATTTAAAGAGTGGCATGTCCGATTTACAACGAAACCCTTTAACCCTTATACAAAAAATCCTTATATTCTAATCTTAAAAGACTGGACTACTTTGGAAAATTCCACCTGATGGGGATTTAAGGGTTTCAACTCTCCATTTTGCATAGGCGGTGCAGTTATGGGTTTCCTTAATTCTGCTTTCGTCTGAAAGACTTTAATACAAAGGAAAGCAGGGATCTTCTACTGAAATCCCTTACACCCTTCTTCCTCCAAACTTCTTTATCGACACTATCACCGTGACATTTTTTGACTTTGAATGAAAAGAAATGTAAAGGATTTTTTTTTTTTTTTTAGTGCATAGGGTAGGAATAGAAGTTGGAGAACTCTAGAACTTTCACTTCCTTAAAACCGAGCATTAGGTGGTAACGCTATTTTCTGCCTTAAAGAAACCGAGCATTAGGCCTAATGCCCATTTTCTGCCTTATAGAAACCGAGCAATAGGTCTATTGCTCGGTTTCTATAAGGTAGAAAATGAGCATTAGGTCTAATGCTCATTTTCCACCTTATAGAAACCGAGCATTAGGCCTAATGCTCAATTTCTACCTTATAGAAACCGAGCATTAGGCCTAATGCTCGTTTACTACCTTATAGAAACCGAGCATTAGGCCTAATGCTCGTTTACTACCTTATAGAAACCGAGCATTAGGCCTAATGCTCGTTTTCTACCTTATCGAAACATGTCGCTCTATACTTATGGAAGGTCACTTGAAATTACGCATTCAGTCCCTTTTAAGTATTAAAAAGCCAAATCTTCCTAAAGGATCTATTCCGAGTAGAAGATCTCCACGCACTACACTTCTTTACAGCTATATCACTTGTCACAGTACAGTTATCACTTAGCTCAAAGCTACTATCACAATTTTGACCATTTCCTGCAGTGTAGTTGTTGTGCAGGGAGGGAAAATTTCCGTTTTGATTTAGACTGTGAGTATTACCATTTTTTTTGAGCCTGTGATTATGAGAACAGTTCGATTGAAAAACTGTAACATTCTGTAATAAAAAAAACATTAGGAATAGGGCTTCCAGCGAAATGGGGAATTTTTTCTCGCCGAAAATTTCGCATTTTTTAGCCACAATAGGTATGCGCAATACGTTTAGGTAATGTGTTAATACGTTTAGGTAAAAGAAAAATTCAAAAAATAAATTCAATCAAGAGTTTACTGGTATCCATTCATTAGTTTCCGATGGTTCCATAAAATGGGGGATATTATGCCAATTAACAGACAACATTTCTGTCCAATTCCAACAAATTAGGAGAGCAAATTATCATGATAGAAACATTGGATAGAAATAAAAGCAACTATTATATATTTTCTTTGTATGTAAAAGTTGAATAAGCATGAAACACAAATCACTTTTACTTGCAGGAGGACCCACGAAAATTCTAACTTTTTAATAAGTTTTTTTTTTTTAAATTCGATATTCTTATTCCACTGACAAGGCCGGACACTTGAGCTAGTTTTATAAAATTATACCTCTCGTGCAGAATGTGATGTAGAGCTGCTGCGTCCTGAACTGGATTGACTGGATTGTGGCGCCTGGTCAACAACATTGTTTTTGTAACACTTATTCGTATGTGGATCTTTTAAAGAAAGAAATATATGTTAAAATTTCAAGTCATCCTCCATTTAACCCTATCCCTGCTGGGGTACTTGAAAACCAGGATATGCTGGGGGGGGGGCAATTTGACCCCCCCCCCTCTAAATCCCATGTTTGATGTCCAAATATGATAAATCTTACATCATTGGAAAGCTCTTGTGCTCTATTTTTAGAATCTGCAAAAAAATTTGCAAATTTGCAAAAATTGAATCTTTTATCGCAAAATCCAGTTATATAGTAAAAATGTTTGCAAAAAAAAATTTGTCCAAAAAATGAAAATTTATACATTTTTGAAAAGCCCTTGACCATGCCATTTCAAATATGCAAAAAATTTTGCAAAATTTTAAATAACCTGATTTTTAATCAAGAAAAACTAAAAATTGCAAATTTCCTTTGGCAGGTCGTTTGCAAAAAATTTGAATTTTTTTTTGCGCAAAACTTGTGCAATCTGTTTCCTTATGTCATAGGCTTTCCAAAAAGCTAAATTTAAAAAAAAAGTGAAAGTGGGTCAATACAAAGATTTAGTTTGTTACAGGAAAAAGCAGTCATTCAGGCAGTGTGCCTGAGGACTCAGGCAGTTAGTATTAAAGCCCGGTTTTAGGCCTAAAGGGAGGGCTTTGGGTATGTAGGAAAAGTCAGAAAATTTCAACAGCCTCAGACCAATACTTTTTGAGTTATGTAAAAAAAACTACAGGGGGGGTCAAAGTGACCCCCCCCCCCCCAGCAGGAATAGGGTTAAAAAGATGCTTGCTAGATTCACAATTGTACTCTTAACATCTTTATCTGATCTAATAATGTGGGAGATATTAGAGTTATTTTCTAGATGAAAAATGTTTAGATTCTAACAGTTTCCTGAAAAGTGCGATGTTGTGAATTGGACAAATCATTTATGAAATGTCCTATAATTGAAATGACCTGTCTTTGAAATGTCCTTTCTATGAAATGTCTTTTATGAAATGTCCTATCTATGAAATGTACTGTCTATGAAATGTCCCGTCTATGACATGTCCTTTAAATGAAGTGTCTTCTATAAAATGTCTTCTATGAAAGGTCCTATCTATGAAAAGTCATACCTATGAAATGCCTCATTCATAAATTGTCCTTTTATGAAATGTCCTATCTTTGAAATATCAGATGTCCCAACACCTGTATGCATACTGTTCAATTTAAATTGCCTTGCTGCCTAAAGTCGGTAAATTATTTAAAATAAACAGTAGTTTACAGTGTTTTATGCCAACAAATAATACAAAAAATCCTTATATTCTAATCTTAAAAGACTGGACTACTTTGGAAAATTCCCCCTGATGGGGATTTAAGGGTTTAAACTCTCCATTTTGCATAGGCGGTGCAGTTATGGGTTTCCTTAATTCTGCTTTCACTTTAATACACAGGAAAGCAGGGATCTTCTACTGAAATCCCTTACACCCTTCCTCCTCCAAACTTCTTTATCTCTTTCCTACCGGCTCCACAACTCGATGTCACACGAACTATTTAAAACATAGAAACAAGAACCAAGAAACAAGAAGAAAAAAGAAAATTGAACAGAAAAAATTGGAATTCTCTTATGGATAAGCTTTACACTATCAATTTATTCCATGAGCGAATAGAGACAATGTTGGAGATGGGTTTGAGAGATGTCTTCCCCCCCCCCCCCCCTCCCCTTCCATTTCACACTGAAAGAAAATACACAAGAAATATGTGCTTGGTTGTGATTTAAACTGTGAGTATTACCATTTTTTTTGAGCCTGTGATTATGAGAACAGTTCGATTGAAAAACTGTAACATTCTAAAAAAAAAACATTAGGAATAGGGCTTCCAGCGAAATGGGGAATTTTTTCTCGCCGAAAATTTCGCATTTTTTAGCCACAATAGGTATGCGCAATACTTTAGAAAAATAGGAAAAAATGGGCACCTTGACTTAGTTCCAAAAGATGTCAAAAGAATATGTTTTTCAAAATTAGCAGAAATATGATTGAAAGATGTATAAACAAGAGAAAAATGAAGAACAAGAAATAAAAAAATGTCAAAATATTGGCATCTGATTTCCAGAATAAATTTGTGTACAGTAAATAAATTATCTTTTGGCCCACCTTTCTTTGTGTTTGATTCTGGTTTATCATGACAAAACCCCAGTTTTCTGTACCAAAGAGTAAATATAGGGTTTTAATGTAAATGTGTATCATAAGTTAAACTTTATATTTAAATTAAATAAGATTTCAATTAAACCTAGCATAATTTAATTATTTTGCAAATATTTTTATTTAAGATTGGTCAAACATTATGATTTAAAATAAATCATAAATATTCAATTACTTTTTTTTGAAAGCTGAAATTTATTAATTTGAAAAGTCCTTGGAAAATGGCTGCGGCCGCATGTGTCACATGATAATATTCTTTAAAAGTAACATAAACATTTATTACATTTTTCCAGCGTATTTATTTTTATTTTCTAAACCTCCCCAGCACCCTAATCATTAAAGATTGAGGTATAATAACCCCTCCCCCATCAACATTAAACAAAATAGCCTAATTTGGGATTTGATTCAGAGATGTTCAGAGATTGTTATAAGGTTAATCGATGCAATTTAATGTAAACCCGTTTTAAATAGCTGGGCAAACCAAATTCACCACAATACCCTTGCAAATTATTTCTGATAAACAATGTTTTTCCAGTTTGAAAAGTGTTTAACACTCATAACTTTGATTTGTTTTCTTGTAAAACAAATGCAAAAATTATTTCTGTAGAAAAACCGCAATTTATACTCATTGATAAAGTGTTTCTTTAGATTACGCTTACGTACTGTCTCTTTAAGTGAATTTAGTAATTTTTACTAAAATTGGTTCTAAACATATTTAGACATTTATAACAAATGTAAATTTCCAAATTAAAAAAAAATACAAAATTAAACAACAATCATTGCACTGTTCCCCAGTAATTACTGTATAAAATATGAAAAAGTTAGGTTTTAATCAACATAATTGAGACTAAAATATGGATCATTTCCTTTAAAGAGAAGAATATTAGGAACTGGTTTCAACATTTTTTTCTGCGAAATTAAATAAAACTTTGTCAACATTTTAATTAACAGATTTTATAAATTCATTCATTCTTCATTCATTCTTTGCAAATCTTTTAGCTTTTGAGCAGATCAGGTAGGTCACGTTTCTACTTTTTAATTGATTTAAATTAGTCAGAACATTTCAAAAGTAATGTTTTTAACTTTAGTCGACGTTTTGAGTTACACGGTAAGACTAAAATGTTTTTAAAAGATTCAATGGTTAAGGGTAGGGGGGGGGGGATACTTCGGGTGGGGGGTTGAATAAATCATCCAACCCCACCCCCCCTGTTTGTGTACATAAATAAATCTGAAGGCGGTCTGACTGTAAGTTAAATAGTATTGCTTACATATAATCCTATTGCTGAATCAGCGGTTATAAATGTATTCGTTGTTATTAATATTATTTTATTTACAGAAAACAGTTCAGTTTTAATTTTTTTTGGAAAAAAAAAATACTAAGAATATTTAAACTTTACCAGAAAATAAAGAAAATATTTTGCATCCATATAAATAAAAAGTAGGTTTTCTGTTTATTTGTTTATTTTGATGTTAGATTATAACTAATGAAAAACTGGACCGATTTGCCTCAAATTTAAGAGACTCGGTTGAAGGAAGGGAATGTTTTTATAGCCTAATTTATAAATTTTAAGTTGGGTGGGCAAAGTCGGGTTTCCAGGCTATTCATTTATAAAGTTAATTTTACTCACTTTGAACTCTGTTTTGAATATACTTATAATAGGAAAAGCCTGAATGTACCTTTATAATATAAAACAATAATTTCTGTTTTAGTGTTTATTTTTGTGTTAGTTTGTTTGTTTGTATATTCGATCAAAATTTATCAACCCCTATGCAGACTTGCCTCAAATTTTGATAGAGCAAAGTTGTAAAAAACATGGAAACTTTCTTTGCCCTCAGTTTAAAGGTTGAGAAGGTTGATTTTTAAGCTTCCAGGCAAAGTTGAGTTCCCAGTCTACTTTTTAGATAATGTTGTCTATATTTTCTTTTCCAGCGGATTTTCCTGAAGCTTCAAATTTTTGAATGATTGCAGTTTTCACACTTGTGGATTTGCAAATATTAATATATGTCGTCACTTTCCAACTTTCTTGAAAGGATGAAATGTAAGGATTTGTATTATTGATATCTTCTATAGGTATTGATTCCAAATATATGACTTTTGTGTATTGGGGCAATTTATCGTAAAGCAGATTTGGAAGTATTTTTTTGTTGGAGAGTCACAAAATATTTTACAATTTTGTTGGTCTCCCTATTCTCATCTTGTGACAAACGGTGTGTCCCATAAAACTCAAGAAATGATGTTAAATAGAAAAATGAAAACATGAAACTCCGCCATAAGCAGGAACTTAAACCTCCGGTTCTTTTGAGGTATACAACCGCCTTTAGGCAGATGGAGCATGTAAATTGTTTACATATACATACATATTGTTAAGGATGGATCGTTTTTATTTTTTTGAGAAAAACGATCATTTCGTTTTAAAAATGAAAGAAAAACTAAGAACGGATAGATCGTTTTTATAAACGATCGTATTTGAAAACGACCGTTAACGACGACCCTTCGCTAACGATTGTTAACGAATTTTTTAGAAGAAAATACATCTTATGTTCTGAAAATCTGTTGGTCAGAGATCATTTAGGTTATTTATTTCTCTCGTTAAAAAAAATGTTTAGACATTATTCATTACCTTAATTTCTTTTTTAAAAAATAATTCATTATCTTAAAACTCATATTCATTAGCGAATTTTTCTTCTTAAACAATCGTTTCGAAAAATTAATGTTTTTTCATTTTTTGAAAGTTCAAAACAAGTGGTTCGTTTTAGAAAACGATCGTTCTTTTTCTAAAAACGAAACGATCGTTTTGAGAAAAACAACTCTACTTAAAACATTGGTGTAAATTGGAATTCTTGTCAATTTCTAGGGTTCAATGGTTACAGGCAACTAGATTATCAAATACTAGAATCTATTTGGTTTGAAGGAAAATTTGTATTTATAGAAAGAATACAAATATTCAGCAAATATCTGTAAAATGAAAATTTCAGGAAATTTTGTTGAAATCGAATAAATTTTCATCAGATTTCTTGACTTAAAGAATCCATGGAATCAATAGAAAACACTTTAATGAATCAGATTAAAGGGACTGTAACGGTACTTCATATGACCCTCCATTTATTGAGTATTTTAAAAAGTCAAATTAACTCTGAATTTCAATAAAAAAAGAACAGCTAAACGTAATCCTATATAATAGTGGGTCTTTATTTATAACGTGGTATGTCCTATTCACGATAATGACCTTTAAACCTTTATCTGACACTTAAAACTATAAAACACTTCCTTGATTGTTTCTTCAACATGGATTTAAAAGTTATTTTTATAGATAACCTACGATTTGTACATTTTCAGATAGAAAAAGAAAACTTTCGTATCCAGATTAAAGGGTACAGTTGTAAATGGGATATGACACTAATTAAATTAATACTACGTTGTCAGTCCGTTTGAGGAAGGTTTGAGTGATTTCAACGTTGTATTGCCTGATCTGTGAGATAATGCCAACCATGCAGAATAGTTTGCTGGCAGAAGGTAGAGAAACAATCCCAGTAGGTTGGAAGGGGGCCTTCATAGTAATCTGATTCAAGAAATCCTTCCTAAATATTAGAATAGTATTAAGCTTAGTTAGTAGGTTGGGAGGGAGCCTTCATAGTAATCTGCTTCAAGAAATCCTTCCTATGTATTAGAATAGGATTAAGTTTATTTAGTAGGTTGGAAGGGAGCCTTCATAGTGATCTGATTCAAGAAATCCTTCCTAAATATTAGAATAGGATTAAGCTAATTTAGTAGGTTGGGAGGGAGCCTTCATAGTAATCTGATTCAAGAAATCCTTCCTAAATATTAGAATAGGATTAAGCTTATTTAGTAGGTTGGAAGGGGGCCTTCATAGTAATCTGATTCAAGAAATTCTTCCTAAATATTAGAATAGTATTAAGCTTATTTAGTAGGTTGGGAGGGAGCCTTCATAGTAATGTGATTCAAGAAATCCTTCCTAAATATTAGAATAGGATTAAGCTTATTTAATAGGTTAAGAGGGAGCCTTCATAGTAATCTGATTCAAAAAATCCTTCCGAAATATTAGCATAGTATAAGCTTACTTAGTAGGAGCCTTCATAGTAATCTGATTTAAGAAAGACTTCTAAATCATTAAAATAAGATGAAAGATTAAGATAAAAGATTTGAGTTTTTTCCTACAGGAATGGCTAGCTGTACTTATTGAGAACAAAAAGGGAAAAATAATTACCATCGAATATGCTTTTCTGTTTCAACAAAAAAAAACCAAATTAATGTAATGAATTTAAACTTATGTATGTGAATCAGATTCAGAACTTGATTATAAACTGTATTGTACTGTATTGTATAGGGTTTAGTACTTGTGAATCAGATTTAGAGCTTGACTATAAATTGTATAATTATATTGTACTGTATTGTATAGGGTTTAGTACTTGTGAATCAGATTCAGAGCTTGACTATAAACTGGATAATTATATTGCACTCTATTGTATAAAAATCTCTGCTTGTAAATCAGTACAGAACTATTTATGTACTAAAATACTATTATGCTTCAACATTGTATTATGCAGAATAAAATGGCTGAACTGTACCTGGGAATCAGATACGGAGCCGGATCCACGATCCATATTTACATTTCCATTACAACCCTTTAACCTGAACATAAAAATATAAAGTAGGGATAATGAGGAAAAATTTATATAAAGGGCGTCTCGAAAAAAAAATATTAATTTCTGAGGAAAAACCTGAATTAAAATGAAGATCCATATTCAGGGTTACCAACAAAGGATGAGACTTCAGAGACCACTGTACGAAATCGGCATAGGATGTTTTATTACTCATGATTTCTTTCTTTCCTTGGCAAATCATTGAATAAGTCGTTCTTGACAGTAGATAAAATTCAAACACGGGATTGTTTTATTTAAAGAATTTCAGGTCGGCTTTATACAGTCTCATCCTTTGTGGGTAACCTTGTATTTATACATACATTATGGTACTAATTCACATAAGGTTGATTTTTAGCTGAGAAATTTAGTTTCCAGCTGGGTTCCGAATCTAGTATTTTGTAATCCTATTGATACCAACATGTCCAAGATACCAATGTAATGGATCCAAGAAGATGAATACAATGATAAATATTTACTCTTGATGGGAGTGTATAAAATCTCCTATTTCGAGAAGAAGAAAAACACAATATCTTATTTTCCCTTCAAAGTCAATAAATGGATGTATTTACAACAAGGGTAAAGCTTGCAAATCTATGTTTTTAAAGGTGGAATTCGAGCAAACCGGTATTCAGTTTTGTGGTTACAGTACACGCACCCCTGAACCTCTAGTAAAAGTAAATTCAAACTAAAGTCTGACCGCATCAACCTTGTTGCACAGGCTAGTTCTATTGAGTGTCTGCTTTATTTAACCAATGTCTGGGCGATACAGTACAAACTGGGACCGTAAAGGTTGACCTGACTCGGAAATTCAAATGTACTACGGCTGCCCGTGAGTAAGTATTATTTTTCCGAAAAAAACTGGAAAATTAGGAGGGGTTTCTGTTGGTAAATCGCTAAGATTTCTAGTTTTCGGAAAATATGCCGTTTAAATAATTTAGCTTTTCTAACTTTTGAGTTTTCTTTTTTATTTCTTAAATGGAATCCTTTTTTTCAACCTTGTGTCATAAACCTTTTCTTTACAACCATGAATTCTACTTGCTATAGTGATTAAAAAAGTAAAATGTTAAGACGAGTGTTCAGTTTCTTTAAATTGTAGATTGTAGAATTTTTCATGTCTTATAGTTTAATTCACTCTGAACTACAAATTTCACATTTCACATTTCTTTTGAAATAGATAAATCAAACTTGATGATTTACATAATATAAATATCATCATCAGAATGATTTAAAACTTAGAATATTTTTCATTTCTATATTTTGGGAAACAGACAAGCCAAGTATATTTAAAGATTAACTTTAATATAAATATGATGATTAGAAAATAATAATTTTTATTTTTAGATTACTCATTACCAGTCCTCTTTAGAAAAGGGGACTAAGTGTAAGAGAAACTGTCAATATCTTGTCTTAAAGATTATCTATTTTCTGTAAAACTCGACTTTCTTCAATTTCTTTTGACGAATCAAATTCATCGAAAAACGGATTTTTTTAGATCATTTAAGAATTTTAACGGCCAAAAAGTTCAGCTTATCTTGTTCTCTAAAATAAAAAATCGATAATTATTTTATTTGATCATTTACTTAAAAGTGTGTTGTTTTTTTTTGTAAAGTTGGGACAAAATAATTGTACCGCATAATATTTAAAGTAAACATTAATGTGTTTGACAAATACAAGCGTTTTATCTAAAAACTTTAAATTTAAAAGATAAATAAATAAAATTCCTTTATCCTTGATTTTTGAACTAGGTTTAAATGGTACCAATGTAAATCGAGGACAGCACTCTTAAAATAGAATGTTACTTTAAATTATTAAGCACATTTGATGAGAAAGCTTCGGAGCTTTGAATTGGAATTAATGATAATTAGAATCTTCTTTGAATGGAAATGATTGATTCACTAATTATTAATAGGTTCTTTCTTTTTACATTTTATTTTTAGTCCATAATCTTCACTTATCCTTCACCCTCTCTCACCCCTCTCCCCTCTCCCTTTCCCCCCTATTACTCCATACCCTTAGACCCTTAAAGGAATAAAGAAGCTTTAAGATGTCAGATCTCCTATTAATGGTCAGTTGGTGGAGTTAGTGCAAGAAACCACAAAAAGATTTTGGGTAGATATGTAGATATGTAGAAATGTGAATTGAGATTCAATTTATTTCAAAAATATTATTTATCGTTATCTATTTGCATGAAAAGAATTTATTTTATTAAAAGAAGTTTGTTTTTAAAGAACAAATCTTTAAAGTATTCATTATAATTTTATTTATTTCTATCAATAAAACAAAAAGAAACAGACAAAAAAATTTAAGTTTAAAACTTTTCTAATAGTTTGTTTTTATATAGAAAATAAAGGAAATCCGTGTTTTTTAAAATGAATTATTTTCTTTTCTGCAAAAATTACTCGCGTATTGCTTGCTTCAGAAAGAATGGGAACATTATCAGAATTAAACACTTTTAGAACCAGAAAATTTAATAAAGTTTTCTAGGGCACCGGTGTGAATCGGTAATGCCAACTTTAAATGGAGGGTTGTTTAAGATTATGACGACACTCCCTTTAATTAAACAGTTTGTGAACTATATACTTGTCCCACTGTGACTGTGGTAACTGTTTGCAATGGAATAGAATTTACAGTATTTCTAACTTTCTTTTGAAGTTTCAATTCTTCTCTTTACATTCACATACAAGAATTCTAATTTAATCTTAAAGGTAAAAAGAAACCAATTCAAAACAAAGATACAATTTAAATATAAAATATAAAACTTTCTGTTTTAAATTCAATTAAAACTATTATTTTAAAGCGATGCAATTGTAACAATTTTGCTTATAACACATTCCTTTCTATATATAGTGACATATACACTCTGCAGACTTTTCATACGTCCAATTCTTGGAAACTTTATCTACAAGTCAAGGATCTTAAAGCACTTTCATTTTTTACATTATCATTTTCATTTCTTTTTTAGAATCTAGTAATTTAAAGGATATTTTTGAATATAATTCAGAATAGGATAAAAACGATAATAAGGCCGCAGTTTTTAAAAATGTCTAAAATATTTCATTACTTACTACGTATTTAAGCTACAGATCTAAAACCTAATTATATTTTTGAAAAGCCATTGAAAAATGGATTTATAAACATGTGTTATTTCCTTAATATTTAAGATTTTAAAAAAAATATTTTTCAAACCTTTTTGGACATTTATTTCAAACCTTCCTAGCACATGAAGTTAGACGTCTAATTTACCTTCCTCACCCCCCCCCCAATCTACGAGCAATGAGCATTCAATGCAACCCGATACGTTTACCTTAAGGCCTTTTTCTAGGGGTAATATGTTTGAAAATAATTTCAAGACAATCATGCTTTGAATGTGTTTTTTTAGTTCCCATCAATGTTTATTATTATTTCTACTAAAGTCCTGTGGTCATTTATAATTTTGATATTTTGCTCTGCACTGAAGATTACAAAGAACTAGTTTTTGTTCAGATTTCCAAGATAAATGAACCAGCTGTGTCCGGTACACGGTGAACTAGAAGTCCATTGAGTACAAACTTTAGAACCCAATTTTACCCTTGTTTAATGTAGATTTTTCGTATTTATTATTTTGTACTTTTTTTAAAATGTGTTTTAAATATTCAACTTTACAGAAGTTTTTTTTGACGAATTTTAAAATCAAAATATAACTGAGCATATTTCGACGCAGAAGGATGCAATTTCAAGTCGATAGTTTTGCGTGGAAAGAGTTTACTTAACAAATACTCTAGATTACACAGATAGGACAACAGAAGGGATCTCTGTGTTAGGCTGAGATTTAAACTTTTGAATATGCTGATCTACAATTCCCAATTTGATCTGGACAAAAGAAGGTGGTAAAATCTTTGGCGACATTACTTAAACGACTTAGAGACCGATCGTATCTTTATCAGTTTTTAGCACTAGTATATGATCAGCAAGTTTGTTTTGTTTCATAATAGAAATTCAATTCTTTAATTCCTCTTTTCGGAAGACATTGTTAACGATCAGAAATTTTTAGCGATCAGACATGTTAACGATCAGACATTGTTAACGATCAGACATTGATGAAGATCAGACATGGTTAATCAGCAGACATTGTTAACGATCAGACATGGTTAATGATCAGAAATTGTTAATGATAAGACATTGTCAATGATTGTCAATTGAGTTATGAATGAAAACATGTAAGATTTCAACATAACGTAAAATTTACTTTAGATTAACGTTTGTCTGCGCTTAATATTCAAATTAAGTAATTTTTATTCCAAGCAAAAGGTTAGTATTTCATTTTGTCAAAACCTAAACTGCTGCTCATAATCTATCAAAACCTAAACTGCTGCTTCCAATCTATCAAAACCTAAACTGCTGCTCATAATCTATCAAAACCTAAACTGCTGCTCATAATCTATCAAAACCTAAACTGCTGCTCATAATCTATCAAAACCTAAACTGCTGCTCCCAATCTATCTGAAGGGATTAATACAATTGTTAAACCAAGACTTTATATCCATGAAAAACATAAACAATATATTACTAATGACACAACAAACTTTTCTTTTCATTAATAAACTTTATCAACTTGATATAAAACTAAGTTTCTTCCCAGATAGATGCTGAAAATAGTTTCAGACCTTTTCCTCAATTTTTTGATGAACGGATTTTGCAATATGCACGCAAAAATATTTTGGTATATAAATCACTTAGGTTTTCAAAAATGTTGTCTTTGTCATATTTCACACAATTTTTGTTCTGTCATATTTTTTGTAAAACTGAATATCACAATAAATATTTTTTTTGGTTGCAATTAAGTAGATTTTTTTGGCAGATTTTTTATGTAGAACCAAAAGGCTCTTTAAAAAAGTGATAAAGATTAGTATCACATTATGAAGATTAGATTAGATAAGAAGATTATGATCCAGTAGTAAATTGTAAAAACTATATGTTTTCAGTCAAATTTTAGGAAAAATGAAAATGAAATTTTGCAATAACATAAACTTCTTGATTTTTCTAAAGTTGCATTAACCAATCTCTAGTTTATGGTATACTAATTAACAGAATATTATAATAATAATGTTATAATTATTTAACTAATGTTATAATTTAAATAATGTTATAATTTAAGAGTTTTGTTTGGATTAAAATTTAAAAGTAAGGCACCTTCAACTAAGTTTTATGTATGTACTGAAGTGACTAGCAGAACACTGACCAAAGAAATAGTAGGTTTTAGCAGAGAGTGATTGTATTATATAAGGAAGCGGTTGCACTTTAAATACAACAGTTTTGGCTTTTCTGGAAAACAAATCTTAGAAAATTGAATTTGACCAATAGCAATGTTGTGCAGTGTAACAAAACCAAAATATTTGATTTGTAAAGAAAAATTGTAGGATTTGATCCAAATGTTATTATTGCTCTGGACCACTGCCAGATCAAAACTAATGAACGCAGAAATTTGATATCTTGTCCAAAGAATTCTTTTCCAATAATTTGTTTTAGAAATTTTATCTATTTTTAGAGTTCACAGAAGTCCTAAATATTTAAGGGTCTCAGGAACCCAAGACATTTTAGGGTTCTTATGGGATCTTAGGGGTCAAATGGGGCCAAAATTTAAGACAAAAAATGTAACTCACCGACTATGCTCTTTGCAATGTGATGGATGGCTGCACATATTCAAATCTAAATCAATTTTAAATTTTATAGAAATTTTTTATCTTCCTCTGAATTCTGAATTCTCATCATAAAAAATTAACTTTACGTAAAAAAAACTTTTATATAAACATTAGCATTAATGTTTAGTTATTTCCTGAAACCATGTTTTTTTTTATAAATAATAAAAAATCGAAAGATTTCTTTAGAAATAATAACAAATTGGGACCCAAAAAAGAAATTGTAAATTGAAAAGGATCGCTGCTTAAGTAAAATTGTACTGGCTCTACCCCCTCCCCCCAACCTAAACCTACCCACCTCCCCCTGGTAACCGCCAAAAAAGTCCTTGGAAAAAAAGTTTCCGGAAAAAAAGTCCTAAAATTTCAAACTAAAAAAGTCTTGTGGAAAAAGTCCTTTTATTAAAAAGTCTCCGGAAATAAAGTCCTAATAATTCGAGACTTAATTTTCCAGGACTTTTGTCTGGCTCCAGTATTATTTTATACAAAAAGGTCCTCGGAAAAAGATTCCTGTAACAAGTGAAAAGGATGATTCACAACGGAAAAAAAGTCCTGGCTGTAAACATCCTATCAATATAATAATATAAAATATATTTATTACATATGTATATATTTATCACGAGTTTAGTTAGCATTTTCTTTTTCATATTACTTAAGAATATAAAACTAGCCCTGTATATGATGTACATAATACACTTGTACGGGGGATTTTATACACAACTTTTCTTGGGACTTTTTTTCCGGGTTTTTCTTTTTCTCAGATTTATTTTCTTCAGGACTTTTTTTCCTGAGACTTTTGGCAGCCGCATACTATTTTAGGAAAAAAGTCCCAGGAATCCAAAACACAAGACTTTATTTCCAGTTACATTTTTTCCAAGGACTTGAGAAAATTCGGACTTTTTTTGCAAAGTTTTTATTTCCAGGTTTTTTTCCGGAAACTTTTTTTTCCCGGGACTTTCTTACATAATTCCCTCCCCCCACCCCCTACCTACCCACAACATAAATACAAAATATAAATTCGTATTTTGATATTTACCTTAATAGAAGCATTGCTTACTGTCTGAACATTTTTTTCTATAAGATATAAAACATTCATACTTATAATAGGAGAGAGATGATCGATAGTAAACAGTGTGTACAATTCAACAGCATTTAGCTAAGCAATTTTAAATCTATGGTATAGGTTAAATTATTTCTCCATTCTTTCATTGATCTTTCAAAACGAGTAGATTTCGGGATTTCCAAAATATTTTTAAAAGTACAATTACTAGAAAACTCTGAAATAGGAAAGATACGTTGTAAACCCAAGTTATGTCTTTAAATAGTTCAATAAGCATCGAACACAGGTAAGTTAATTTCGTAATGTGAACAGACTCATTTCATTTAATTACTGGTTTAAAAAGTGTCTATTGTAAAACTATTTGTCTTGTAACATGATATTCTAAAGGACAAGTTAAATTCGAAGTATTTTCCATTGATAAAGTGTCATAACCGATTCATAAAAAATCGCAATGAAAAGAATAATTGAAAACTTTTCAAGTTAAAAAACCGACGGTATCCTCCACAAAATTGATTATGATAAAGGATTTAAGGATACTCCTGTGAATCGGCACCCCGCTCTTCAAGTGGAAGTTCAATCAATATTAGATTTCAATTGAAGAAGGATTAGAATAAGGCTGGTTAAACACTGACCAGAAAAACATGTTTATCAATTGGATGTATTTCTAGTTTTTATATATAAAAATTACGTCGGATTATGTTGTATTACTACTACGAATTATTTTTACTTCTTTAAAACTAAATTGCTGAAGCAACTGCAGAGCCTTATTTGACTTGTATAAGAACTTGAGTAACCCTCCCCGGGCTAGCTACATACCTATTCCAAGTTTTAAAAAAAAACTTTTTAGGTTAAAAACTGGGGGTTTATAGTTTAAACGACATGGAAAGATTCAAATATCACTAAAAGAGAGAAATCTCCCCCCCCCCCTTTAAACAATAGAATAATAGCACCCCTGTCACGTGGATTTAACGGTTCTGTCAATATTTCAGAAAACTGTGACTTTCGATCACAATTTGATTCCTTTTCCATAATTTTATAGCATTTTATTATGCATGTATTTTTGTTGGCATATACATTTTGAATGAAAAAGTATAAAACAAACAAATCTGTAAGTCTAAAGACTGTTGAGTTTTAGACGAAAACACGTTTGATTTCAAATGAAAGAAACCGAATGCTTCTCTCACTCGTTAGTTCGGGGTGCTGAATCTATATATATATATAAAGTTTTAATATCTGTTTCGGTGTTTGTTTGTCCGATCATAACTCTGGAACCCCTGGACCGATTCGCCTCAAATTTTTATAGGGGAACTCAGTAAAACTTAACTTGGTTTAAAGATTGAGTGTGTTAAAGATTATTGGGAAAGCTCGGCTTCCAGGCAAAACTAGGTTCCCAAGCTAGTAGTATATAATCTAGGAGAAACCAATGTGTAGGATGTTTCTATATTTGATGATTGAGTGCGTGGTGAAGGTCTGGACGGGAACTGAGGTTCCAGGATCCCGGCTTCTCTCTTCTCTTCTCCCGGTATACATCTTATACTCCCGGAGCCAGGGTTCATGTAAGAACAGGGACGGAGGAGTAGGGAGGAGGAGGGAGGAAGGAGGAGGAAGGAGGGAGGAAGAGGGAAGGGGGTTAAGCCANGTTTCCCTTATAAACCGACGGAGAAAGGGTGGGAGAAGATAAACTCTTTTTTGATGAGAAAAAGGTAAAGAGGAAATGTCTCCCATAGGAATTATTTTTGACTGTTTGACAAATAGTCTTAATAACTTCTATTTAGCAAGGTTTTAGAGTAAATTGTTATGGTGGTTTAGTACAGAAATGCAACTTTTGAAATTATTCGAAGAGTTAATAAAGAAAGTTTAAAACTTTAAGATAAAATTAATGAATCATATTAATTCATATTTTGAATCGTTTTTCCTCTTTATAAATGAAAATAAAAAAAAACATTAAACGCTCAGATTTTTGGCAAATGTACGATAAATAATATTTTATTTTCATATTTCTTTGAAAAATTTATTTTAATGGTTTGTTTGAAGTTTGTTGTGGATAGAATTCTCTGATAAAACTTGAATTCAATAAAAAATTAAAATTTTAAAAAAGGTTCAAACAATTAGTTTAATAGAGTTACAGTAATCCCTTTCTTCAGTTTTTCCCATAACTCCCATAGTTTAAACGACATGGAA